GGTTTCGAAGTTACTTGACATTTTTTCACAGTTTCAGAGGTTCAGTAAATTAGCCATATCACTGTCGTCTGACAGGTTAGCGAAATGTTTTTTTCACGAATGGACAGCTAAAAATCCACGCTATTAAATGTTATTGGTCGATTTTCAAATGTGATTCGAAAATAATACAAATAATCGTTCAAATTTTCTGTTTCTTTAAACATTTTGAAGTTGTCCAATATTGGTGTTATTGCTGTATGGACAATAAAGATTATTATTATTATTATTATTATGGTCGGTGTTTCTTGTGAGAACTCAGGTCTAGCCTGGTTAACTAATCGCACGGATTAAAATCAAGTAACGATTAGTGTCTGTGTCTGGTGAAGTTATGTAGGGTTCTAAAGAAAAATAAAAAAAAAATAAAATAAATATTCACACACTCACATTGGAAATCTAGGGATAGTATGTAATTCATACTTACCAACATAGCTATTAATGGCCACAATAGTCAACGCTATCAGGAAAGAAGAAAACAAAACAAAAATATCATTATAATAATTCCTGTAATTTTATTAAATGGAGTTTATTGTGTAAGTGTTTCTTTGGCTTTGCGTTTGGGTTGAATACGAGTGGGTTGTGATAACGTGGTGTGTTTATGTGAAGAAGGAGTTTTGTGTTTTTTAATTGTATTTATGGTGTTTCTTTGTTCCTGAGGTCGTATTTGTGAGGTTGTTTGGGTTTTTGGTGGAGATATTGCAGTATTTTGTGAGCCTGTGGTGCTGTTAAGGTTTTTGCGCTTCGGTTGTATACGAGTGGGTTGTGACAATGTGGTGCGTTTCTGTGAAGAAGGAGTTATGTGTTTTTTAAGTGTGCTAGGGCGTGTAACTTTATTGGGTGGACCTGTCTTTGTAGTGCATGTTGCGTTACTTGTATTTATGGTATTTCTTTGTTCTTGAGGCTGTATTTGTGTGGTTGCTTGGGTTTTTGGTGGAGATATTGCAGTATTTTGTGAGCCTGTGGCGCTGTTAAGGTTTTTGCGCTTCGGTTGTATACGAGTGGGTTGTTTCTGAGAAGAAGGGGTATTGCGTTTTTTAACTGTGCTAGGACGTGTAACTTTATTGGGTGGACCTGTCTTTGTAGTGCAAGTTGCGTTACTTGTATTTATGGTGTTTCTTTGTTCTTGAGGTTGTATTTGTGTGGTTGCTTGGGTTTTTGGTGGAGGTATTACAGTATGTTGTGAGCATGTAGTTCTGTTAAGGTTTTCGCGTTTTGGTTGAATACGAGTGGGTTGTGATAATGTGGTGTGTTTCTGTGAAGAAGGAGTTTTGTGTTTTTTAACTGTTCTAGGACGTGTAACTTTATTGGGTGGACCTGTCTTTGTAGTGCAAATTGCGTTACTTGTATTTATGGTGTTTCTTTGTTCTAGAGGTTGTATTTGTGTTGTTGCTTGGATTATTGGTGGAGACATTACGGTATTTTGTGAGCCTCTAGTGCTGTTAAGGTTGCTGCGTTCGGGTTGTGATAACGTGGTGTGTTTCTGAGAAGAAAGAGTATTGTGTTTTTTAGCTGTGCTAGGCCGTGTAACTTTATTGGGTGAGGGCGTCTTTGTAGTGCAAGTTGCGTTACTTGTATTTATTGCGTTTGTTTGTTCAGGAAGTTGTGTTTGTGTGGTTGGTTGAGTTAAGGGTGGAGATATTACAGTATGTTGTGTGTCATGTTGCGAGTCTAAAGTGCTGTTTAGGCTTTTGCGTTTGGGTTGAATACTAATGGGTTGTGATAATGTGGTTTGCTTCAGAGGTGAATCTCTGAATGTAGTATATGTTGTATCATTTGTTGTACTTGTTTGTTCGGTAAGTTGTATTTGTGTGTTTGTTTGGGTTAGAGGTGTTATTATTATTATTATTATTATTATTATAAGTTTCATTCTCGTCCATGGAATTTATTAAATTACCCTGTTCTAGCTCATAATCTAAAAGTTGTCTTTTACCAGCTGTGATGTGTTGTGTTTTACATTTATCATTATCAATTCCAAAGTCCATTTGTATGTCACGTGAGAATGTTTCGGTAATGTGTAGAAGGTGATTAAGTTTTATGCTTGTGGAAGAGTATAATTTAAGATCATCCATGTAAAACAGGTGTGTAATGTTGTGATGTATTTCGTGGTTGTGTTTAATATTGTACCCAAAGTTAGTAGTGTTTAACAAATATGAAATATGAAATATGATTATTATTATTTTTTTTTTTTTTTTTTTTATAACCTTAAACGTGTGCGCTTTCGATAACTGTGACCATTGAGCGCCACGATTAAGTTTTGTCAGAGCAGATAATTATTATTTTGCATCCATTATTTACCAATCATTTCTTTAGATTTCTTTCGTTATATTAATGTCTTTTAGGAACTGTATTAACTTTCCAAAGTTATTTTCTTTTCGCATCATAGCAAGTTCTCCCTCAATTTTGTGTTTTACTCTATACTCATTTAATTTCTCACATTCCTCTACTACATGCTTTACGGTAAGTACTTTTTCTTTACATTGTGGACATTTGGGAGCATCTCTTCCTAAGAGCAGATACGAATGTGTCACCCTTGTGTGACCTATTGCTAACCTTGCCCATATCACTTCATTCTTTCTGGCGAGAGGAGCTACTGGTAGGGTATTCACTTTTTTAATACATTGTCGCAATTGGGTTGTATTTTCGTCCCAGTTATCTTGCCATTTACGAATTACAACTCTACGAATGTACTTCCTCAGATCTTCGTGGGTGTAGATTGTCATTTGTTGCACATCGTTTTTATTTATTTCGTCTATTTGGGGAGTGACTAGATAACGTGAAGGCACATATAGGAATTTGATTGTAATACCACTTTTTCTGAGTGTAGTTATTTTTTGTAGTATGGTTTTTATAAGTTCGTTAATTGAGAATGTGTCCTTTAACATTGTTTTTATTACGTTTGATGTAAAACATATCATTTTCTTTGTGGTTAGTTGATCCATGTCAATTCCTTTAACGATACCTATAAGACCAGCTGTCAGGATTGAGGTTCCTTGAGGGAGCTGCCATGTACGCGTACGTTCTTTCGCCTGAATGTGGCAGTAACATCCGTCGTCAGTAATGTGTCCTTTTGTTATTACTATTTCATATCCTTCACTAATGTAATATTGCCAGTCTCTATTAATTGGTGTGGTTGTGTCTCCTTCTGCTATTTCCTCTATTTGTGGAGAGTTAATTTCCCAGTCATAATTATCATTTGGCGCAATATGGGTGTCGATTATTAGGCTCTCAGACTCCAGTTGTTTATGAATTTTAATGAGCGCATTGATAGTTCTTGTTTGGCTCCATTCATACTTATCAAGAATTTCTGGTGCTGATATGCTCTGTCGGAGATAGTGATGTCTTTTACTAAGAATTTTGGCGCCATACTTCAAATTTGTCTCCAAAAAACGTAGTTGAAGCGGTGGGCATTTTGCTATTATATTGAGCGCTTCTATTGGTGATGTTCTGTAAGCACCTGTTATTAACAACAAGGCCTGGTTCCAGATCATTTGGATTTTGTTTGTGTGCGTTTTTGCTGCGCTACCATACACAACACTGCCATATTCAATTCGACTTCGAACAAGAGAGTTTAGAATTTTACGTAATGAGTCTCTATCCGATCCCCAAGTAAAGTTGCAAAGAGCTCTAATCTTGTTGATGGTAAGTTTGCACTTAGCTACTACATTTTCTATATGGGCCCTCCATGTTAGTTTTTTATCGAATAGCAAGCCCAAAAATTTTTGTTCTTCGACATTTGGTATCTTTTGGCCATTTAGGATCAGTGTTGGCTCGTTATGAGGAAAAAGTCAACCCTCTTTTTTGTGCTTCACACACTACGCGATTTACATCATTTTGCATTATGTTTTGCATATCCAGGATATTTGTCCCGGTTACCGCTATTGCTAAATCATCTACATACAGCATGGCTTTACTATTTGGATGTATGTCATCAGCTATACCGTTAATAGCAATGGCAAATAGAGTGGTACTTAATACAGAACCCTGAGGTATCCCATTTTTTGCTCATACAGTTGGGAGTATACGTTTCCAATACGAACTTGGAAATACCGGTTTTCCAAAAAGCTCTGAATAAGTTTAGGCAGCCTCCCGTTGATGTTCCACATATTTAGGGTTTTAAGTACGTGATACCTCCAAACCGTATCGAACGCCTTCTGTATGTCAAAGAATACAGTAATGGTATGCTGGGTTTTTGTAAATGCTTCTTTTATAATCTTATCTAGGTAAAGTAGATGATCTACTGTAGCGTAGCCTTTTCGAAAACCGGCTTGGTATGTACTGATTTTATTCGCCTTCTCTAATACTGTTGTTAGTCTATAGTTAACCATACTTTCAGATAGTTTACTCAGACATGACGATAATATAATTTAATTAAATTTAATTTTAATACTAAAGTAGTTGAAGTGATGGGGAATAAAAAGCACAATACGGTTTTGCTTACAAGAGGAAAGTACCAAATGTTAATAAACAGTGTAAACGTAAGTAAATCTAAAACCAGTAATAAATTACCAGATGACTACAGGTCTGTTCATAAGGAAGAACTCTTTGAATTGATTGACGGAGCACGTGGAGCCAGGTAGAACAAGAATGGTGAAGGAATTACAAAAGAAGTACAAAAACATTACTACAGAAATCATAATGATCTATTTAAGTCTGTGTGAAGCTTGTCAGAATAAATCCAAAGTTCCCAAAAAGAGTTTAGTAGTCAAACAAAAGAAATGAATAGTAGATGTCAAATAGATTTAATTGATATGCAAGCTCAAGCAGATAATGATTTCAAATTCATTTGTGTATATCAAGATCATTTAACGAAATTTGTTCAGTTACGGCCGTTGAAAAGTAAACAATATGCAGAAGAAGTTGCAAGTGTTCTTCTTGATATATTTTATGCCTTTGGAGCTCCTAACATTCTTCAAAGCGACAATGGACGAGAATTCTCTAACAGAATTATAGAAGCACTGTGCAGCATGTGGACAGATTTGAAGATTGTATACGGTAAGCCCAGACACAGTCAGTCACAAGGATCCGTGGAACGTGCAAATCAAGACATCGAAAATATGCTGAGTTCCTGGCTGGAAAACAACGAAAGAAACAAATGGTCAGAGGGTCTTCGATTTATACAATTCGCCAAAAACCGAGCTTACCATTCTGGAATCAAGTGCAGCCCGTATGAAGCCATGTTTGGGGTTTCTGCCAAAATTGGTTTGAAAACATCATCACCGCCTAATGATGTTCTGAAAATTATTTCAACTGAAGAAGGTTTGGAAGAGTTGGTGGAACAAATAGTAGGAAACCAGTCGAGTCCTGATTGCGTAGAGCATGAAGAAGCAGAAGTGGATGAACTAAATGAGCTTCTATTAGAACAAATTCCAGAACAACCATCAGTGAATGAGCCCAATGTGATTCCAGAAGAACCAGCTTCTAATGAAATTACAGAGAGACAAGATTCTGTAGCAATTAAACGGACACATGCTAAGAAAGGTCTTGAAGAGCAAGCGAAGAAAATGCTTAAAACATCAAATGTAAGATTTCCCCCCGGAAATGTAGGTGATACGGTGAAATTAAGAGTACCAGATGTTGAAAGGGCACGAAGTGATTGTAGACATGTTTTGGCTGTTATTATGTGTGTTCAAAATGAGTTGTATGAATTGGGTACTAAAGAAGGGCGACTTCCACATATGTATAGCAGAAATCAATTTACCCTCTGCAAAGAATCATTCATTTCTCTAGATATGGTTCCAAATCTTAACATTTCATTGCGCGAGTATGTTAGAAAAACTTCATTGTCGGGTGGGCAAGGCTATCAGCGATGTGTTTGCAAAACTAAATGTAAAACAGACAAATGTAAATGTAAAAAGAATGTAAAGCTGTGTAATTCCAAGTGCCATGAGAGTTTGTCATGTCAAAATAAATAGTACAAATTCCATACAAAATTTGCCTCTTGTTATTGATTCAGACAAAACACAATAATAAAAATTACACTTCTTAAAAAAAACTATTTGAATTTATTGTTTTTATTTCATCTTTTCATATATTATTTAATAAGCACAGAAATGAAAATGTACTTGAAGTACAGGCAAGTATACTATATTGTAAAAATACATAAAGGCATGCTACATTCTTAAAAGTTCCCCTCGAGACGATTCCCATTGGTTCCGTGCATCTTATATGCTTCGATCCCAACAATCCTTTTGTCAATACATCGCGTCCGCAACCATCTCTTCTGCTTATACGGCTTAGGGATTGCCGTTGTGTAAAAGAATTCTACCCAACTCGCCAGACTCTAGCTCCTTGACTAAATGTTTCAAATATATCTCATCTTCTGCAGCTTGGCTACTCAGCCTCATTTGAACTCGGAACAACTATCCTCTGTTTTTTTGGATTCCCAAGATACTGGACCGTTAGATAACAAATATCCAGTGAAGGATCGTTTGCCCAATCAGCATCTACGATTTCGGTGATGGAGTCTCAACTTACATCTGGCCTAGATCTCTGGTATCTTTGAGGTACCGCAGCACACGTTTCGCAGCTTCTTAATGCGTGTGGTTGACGCAGTTATTAAACAGAGCCGAACTGTTGACAGCGTGTGCTATATCAGACTTAGTACCTACAGACAGGTAAGTTAGCGCTCCAACGAGCTCTCCGTAGGGAAGTGTAGATTCAGGATCATCAATTTTGTGCTAGGACCAAGAAGTTTCTTGACGGGTTTTGCATCTGCCACACCAAACTTGTTTAGAAGTTCCATTGTGTTATCCTTTTGGTTAACGAAGATCATGTTTCACGAACGTTTTTATATCAAAACCCTTTGACACCATCTTGCCGAGGTTAACGATACAATAATATCGTCCACATAAGTAACGACAAAAGATAAGGATTGATCCTTTTCTCTTGTCTTCAGCTTCTGCGAGATCTCGGATGTTCAGGTTTTGAAATACCAGGATTCGATATTACTGATTGATCTCGTTTGGTTTGCTTTTTCAGTGATATCCCGCACATAGTCATATGAGTCATTTAGCCGATCTGCGGTTAATATTATGTCGCCATTTAGATGCCGAACGATTCCCCGTTTTGTTGGACATGTGCGAAGTCGAAGCTGTCTAAGCACCAGTGGTTACTGCAATCGCGAGAACCCGTATTGGAAGCGATTTCTGTAACGTTTCCGGCACTTTGTGGTTTTTTTACGACAGTATGTCACAGTGTGACCCATTTGTTAACAACGATAACAGCATGTCTTGAAAATGAAATGAAATACAGGCAAGTATACTATAATGGAAAAATACATAGGAACGTGCCACGCGATCGACTGATCTAATTATTATTCACATACATCTCATTCCTGCAACGTCTGCAACGACTTTTTGCATATACACGCAATCAAAGCGCGGTCAGAGGTCATTTTGTAGTTCTTCATTAATCAGTCAGAAAAATCATGGGGGGGGGGGGGCTCTCCAAACTAGATCCACATTACGTTCGGGCTAGGGTAATCTAAGAAGTATCCGTTTCACAGAGTCTGATTCAATTTTGTATAGACCGGGAACAAACCGCTCTAGAAAACATTGTTTTAAAAAGGTTGAAAGGTTCCACCCTGTATATACATCTTACGACGATACATACATTTTTGAGAGTTGGCAACCATGCAATTTCTTGGTGGGGAAAAGCTGCCTGCGCCACCTAACGGGGGTTACGTTTAACGTTTGGCATCTTGTCTTGAATGGCGGTCGTGTACGCGTCGATCCCATAAATGTTTGTTGTTAGTTTGTGTTATTTAATGCAGGTAATAATTTTTGCATTTCTCGTATTTGTGTTAATGTTTGCCGCATTTTATATTTTTGTGTGTTTGAATCTTTGTTTTTGAAATTTACTTGGTTTAACCGCAATACAAAATCACATGTGTGATACCATTATGCTATTGTTTGTAATTGTTTACGGTTTTGGTGTAATGCTTGCTTAATTTATGTTTATTGATGTTAATTACTTGGTCTTGTCCCTGAAGTAACATTCATGTAAGTTTTGATAATTTTATTTTAATATGTTGTGACGTTATTTTCTTTACCGTGTGATCTTTGCTTTGGCTTATATTTGAATTACTATGTGGAATCCTTCTCGAATAACATTATGCGAACTCTTACCTTTATATAGCAATCCTTACGCCATCTAGGTGTTCACATTATAACCCGATCTTTTATTTGCGATATAGTTTTCTTAAAAAAAAAACCCTTTGTCTAGTTTTCTGTTGATTGGCGCGGTTATCTTCTCCCACTCACTGTCGACGCGCGCAGTCTTTGTTGAAGGACTCGATTCGATCTTGACTTGTATTTGAACTACACGCCATTACACTTACTTGACATATTTGTCTACCTTTATTGGGATTAAGTAGTGGTGTTGTATTAAGATTAGTGAAGTTTTCTCTTATCATCTTACTTCCAATTTCGCTGATGACGCATTGCTGCGGATTTATCTTACAAGTTTAAGGCCGTTTTGCGGTATGTTATCTATGTCGCTTTATCTTTTTATTTTAAATAATCTATTCTAGGCTACTTTCGTACTCCCTAAGTTTTCTTACTTCTTATTTTGGTTTTACCAATTGCTTCCTGACTGTACATTGACATTTTGACGTGGAAACGCAAATACTCGATTTTCCATACGGTGCAATAGAATTCCATTGAAGTTTCGACGCCATTACAATCAAAAACGCTCTACATATTTCTACCTTACCGACTGAAGAATTGACTGAAGAATTACCGCCATTTTATGTGAAACCGATATTTGAACTGATGACCCAATTTTACGAAGTTCGTTGACCTACGATTCATTCTTCCGAAACGCAAGTACTTAATTAACGAGACGTGTGGAGTTGGTATTGTGTAAATTTTTAATTAACGTGTATTTTGCTTTGAAAAACTTGCTCGTGTAAGTTTGTTTGCATTTGAATTGATAAGATTGCTTTGTCATTGAAGATAGATTCAGTTATTTTATTTGTACATTTTGTAGTATTTTTCGCTTAAAACTTCATGTCACTTTTTGATATCTCACACCGATTGTGAAAACCAACCCTTAGTCGAACCAAATTTTATTATGTTGTAAAGTCATTTGAATTTTTGATTCTTTTTAGTATTGACTGCAATTCTACGTACAAGAATAACCATTCGTGTCTTACGTTAACCATTGCTTATGCGATATATTGTGCAACGCGAATCATTACCCTTCTTATATTTTTTTTTGTTTTTGTGTCTGACTGTTTCAGATTTGCAGTTTCGCGTCCTCTGAGCTCGGAAGGTTGCGACCGGAGTTCAAGTTAAATTTAGTTATTTTCGTCGTTTTTCCCTTTTAACGTTTGATTACATTTTGGTTGTTGATACTAACGAGTTGTGATTATACTTTGTTTGAAAGTCACTTAATGATTATAGCTCCGTTGTTTCTGCGGAAGCCCTTTTGGATAAATATTTTCCCAGGCTACGTGTTGGCTTCTCATTTGTTTTATTAGAGATTATTTTAAATTCCCAGTTTGATATACTAGATCGATATATTACAGTGTCAGATTTGTGATATTTTGAGATCTTTGTTATTAAACTACCCGCATTTATGACATCAAATACTGTTTGTTTTCCCCATAATTGTGTATTCCTTTGAGTTTAGTAAGACGAGAACAAGGATCTCTTGGTCTGCCTTGCTCATCCCTTTAGTATTCCTCTCTCTCTAGATTCATCAAAGACTAAGTGGCGCCTATCCGGATTACTTTTACTGTTTCCTTCCCTTTTTGGCTTATTTTGTGTGTGTATAGAAGAACCCCATTTTCACCCCGACCCACCTCTACTTTGCCTGAGCTTACCGTGTGCTTATCTAAGATAATTTTGTCACGTTGGCCCAAAGTGAACGTAACAATGTGGAAATTGCCGATTCGTTTGAGGTATGTACTGACTTGTTTGTTACTAACAATTTTCTCCGTGAATGAAGCAGTCACGGGGGTGGTAAAAAACTGTAGTCAAAACTGAAGTACGACACCTAATTCCGTGATTGTCTTCGACATCCAACTGTAGACTCGAAACGCCGAAACCAGGGGCGGGTTACCCATCTTGCAGGAGCGGGATTACGCTAATCAAAGCTCTTAAGTTAAGAATCTATGTGCGATAAATGAGTGGCGATTCAATAATTTCCACGTATCTTGTTTTTAGTTAAATTTGCCTACAAGACCATGTAATTTTCCATCTTGCTTTTAACAAAAGGACATTATTGCACCAAAGATGAGTCACATCCTGTACTATTAACCCTTTCTCAGAATTTAGGTACCTGCTCCTACCTGACCCATTGTTCCCAAAAAAACTTGCTTTTAACCTTGAGTATCCAAATTGTATATATGCATATACTATCTTTGTTAACTACTGCTTAAACTTTTACAAGAAATTTTGTTAATTAAGTTTTGGACTGTATTAATCAAACTGTGAGGTTTTTCTTACGTCGTACTCTTTTTACCATTAGCAGTTACTTTTGCGAGAGTACGACACCTTTTGGCTTTGCTTGCTTTGTTTATATTAATGTACATCAACTAAATTTCCGTACTTTCACAACCTTAATAATTACGATCATTATTAAACAAACTTTTCACAATTTCAGTGTTTTATTTAACGTTCCTTCCCTACTGCGCTTCATTTCAAAGCGTTGTCTGCAACTAACGTAAGGGGGTCTTGCCTTAGATGTTTGATCACGTGCCACTTTTCAAATTTAAGCGGGATTTTGTTTAGTTTTGGAGGGATAGTCATTCGGGTGGCCATTTTTAAACGTTGCCGGGTTGACTTTGTTTCCTAGTTCTTGTAGTGTGAAGTTAGCGTAGAACCTGGGGGGTTAAGTACACTACAAGGTATTGTTCGATTTTCAATTTTTAATTGCACAAACTAAATTATCCCCTATGTATTTATCTAATCTGGCTGCCCTACCCCACAAAAAATGGGGGAAAATTGGGTAGGAATACAAAATCTGGGATTTAAAATATTTAGGTATTGTGTTACACCGAGTGTTACACTGTTTAGGGCAGAAAGAACATCGCGCAACAAGATTAAATGCATTACAAACTGCAAGCTGTGACCAAATTTTATGCTTGTGCGGTAATGTGTCTTTAATTATCTCTATGTCTAATCAATTTATTTTACTTAAGTTAGTTCAAGATGAGTGTATACCTTTCTCTCTTACAAATTTACAATAATTTAGATAGTAGTACCACGAAAGATAGGATGATTTAGGTTTACAATACTCTTTGGGCAAATGCGATGGCTAGCAAAGAAAGTAAAGGAATTAGAAGCGATGGTACAATATTCGCAGAACCATTTCCGCACGGCTCTCCTTCGGGACCTACACAGGAGGCGTACTTCATGACGTGGGCAATTACGTTTTGTTCCGTCACGCCAACTAAAAGATGAGCCCATGGGCCACGGGCAAATATGGCGACATCTTCCCCACCATGCGTTTCATCTTTGAGAGGAACATAGCTTGGGTACTTGAAGTTAGGATTGTCTGTAAATTACATTGAAGTAGAATTGTCATTCCGAAGCTAAAAAAGCCCTTACTCAAATCCGCATTGGTAAGGTCAGGCCTTTTACCATCGCCGTGCTCTCCGGGGCCATTCGCGTAGCTCAACGTAGTGTAAGGGAGTTTGTCCTTTCCTTTGCCACCGATTCCCAAAATATTGTTGCCCCTTTCGGGATAGCCATTAAGCGTCATAGTATGGGCGTGGTCTGAGGTTACTACAATCAGAGTCTCGGATTCGCCCGTAATATCTACAGCCGCCTGGACAGCCTTCTGGAACTCTATGGTCTCGTCCAAGGCCTTATGTGCTAAGGTCGCATGGTGGGCTTGATCAATACGACCACCCTCTACGAATAAGAAGTATCCTTTCTCTCCTTGCGACAAGAGTCGGATGGCTTTCACTGTCATTTCTGCCAAGGATGGCTGTACGTTTTTGTTTCTGTCTAGATTGTAATCCATGTGATCGCTGCTAAATAGTCCCAAGACATATTCTGTGTCGTGCTGTAGACCTTTTAAACCAGGAAGATCGTGAACGTACTCGTGCTTTGCATTGCCCTTCTGCTCTTTCCACTCTTTGATTAAATCCCTTGAGTCTAACCGCACTCCGGGCTGTTGATCGTTGTCAGATTGACCCTTGGGTATAAAGTATGCTCTACCTCCTCCAAAGATAACGTTGAGATTTTTACCAGTTTCTCCATGGATTAATTGTAGTGCTATGTCTTTGCAATTTTTCGCATCAGGCATGTGGCTATCGGCTTCCCAATCTCGGTGAGCTGTGTGGGCATAAACACCTATTGGAATTAAAAGTTGAGCTTTAAACAGTTGATAGGGTGTCAGTTACCTGCGGGGGACGCGTGCGTGATTCTCGTTGTAGTAACAATTCCCGTTTTCTTCCCTTTCATCTGAAATAGATGGGCAATAGAAGGCACGTGGTTCGTTTCGTTGTTCATTTCCTTGCAATATCCCAGTTTAACTGCTGCGGTTACTCCAATCGTTGCCTCGTTGGCCTTCACGCCGCATAGATAGGCGGTGGCCGAGCAAGCCGAGTCGGCTACCTGCCGATCCACGCAGTACGTCTTCGATAATCCGACGAACGGGAATTTTTCAAACGAAAGCTGGGTTTCCTCGCCCGGCTTCTTATCTCGTTGACCTAGGAGCGCCCTCGCAGCCGCTATAGTGGTAATCGACATTCCATCTCCAAGGAACATGATTACATTCTTTGCAAGATCTAGAAATCACAAAAATGAGACCGCTGACAATGACGTGGTTCTCCTTCCTACTCGTATTGGCAGTTTTCTTCAAACGCTCGAAAAGAGTAGCGTTGGCTTGAGATCTCCAAAAACTCGCCGTCGTTTCCTCGCTGCTATAGGCACCTGACTTGGTCGATTTGCCCCTTCCAACGTAGTCATGATTATCTCGATTAATGTCTGGAAAAAGAAAAGATCTAGTAATTACTATCAAGGATCATTCTCCTAAGTTCTCTATAAGGAAAGCAGTTATCTGTAAAACGTAGCTACCCCTTTAGTTAGAAGGATTTGCGCCATATATATGAATAACAACCCTTAATTAAACTTTCACCCAAGCATTTTTTAAGTTATAAGTCTTTAGCTGTGAAATTTTGATTTACACGATACTTTTATTCATTATTATTATTATTTATTGACAAAATTACATTACAAACAATTAGAAAAGTATCACTGATAATGTACCTACACAAAATATTAAACAAGGCAGTGTTGCTATTAATCTCCACCCTCCTCCTCAACACTGACATTTTAGTTCTCCAGTCCGTTCAATCGTCGAAGCTGTTGAAGGCTAGAAACGCGTGCCACCGGCTTAGTAAGTAAGACGGTCGTCATGATTTCCGGCGGACAATACATGAACTTGTGACGATTTCTTTTTGTCGTTTGATATTATCGATCTGGATTTCGCTAGTTAACCCTCGCTCGGTGCTTTCATTTGAATGCGATGCTTTATTTAAGTCCTTACGCCATCTAGGTTTGTAATTCATTAGTTAGATTTAGTTTTATAGTTCTTTAGATCTCTTTGAATCGTTCATTCTGTTGTAGTTCGAGGTCGCGCAGAACTTTCTTTAATTTCTTCCGACGCGCGCACTCCTTGTACTTGACGCATTCTCGATTATTACCTGCAAGACGATACACGCCATTGCTTACTTAACAATTTTGTCGACCATTTTTGGGATATACTGGCGCTGTATTAAATTGAGTGAAGGTTTCCCTCGTTATTCTACTTTCAAGCTTCGCTGACGCTATTTGTGGATTTATCTTACAAGTTTTAAGGCCGTTTTGCGGTATGCAACAACAATTTATCCGGCTTTATGGTTCAGTGGTAGAGCGTTGCGCTATAAATCCGGAGATCGAGTGTTCGAACCTGGGCTGAGGTGAATTTTTCATCTGTGGTAGAGATGAGAATTACCTTAGACCAGTTTCGAGCATTCTGCCGTCTACTCCGGATTAGGTTTTCTTGCAGTTTTCCTAATTCGTAAGGTAGTAGTATAGAGCAACTTAAGACCTTCTGCAGATGCACCTCTAAAAAGCATAGTGCGGGTCACTCTGTAATTGGGCGCAAGCCTGTTGAGGGCCCATAACAAGAGAGGGATAATAAATAAAATAAATTAAAACAAAATAAAATAAAATAAAATAAAGTAAAGTAAAGTAAAGTAAAGTAAAGTAAAGTAAAGTAAAGTAAAGTAAAGTAAAGTAAAGTAAAGTAAAGTAAAGTAAAGTAAAGTAAAGTAAAGTAAAATAAAATAAAATAAAGATTACGCATTCACCTTTACGACCATTCACGGTTTTGCTGCGACTGACAACAGCGCCTGGAATGTTTTTTGAAGAACAATGGATGCGAACACTTCGCCGTACTCGTCCCCATATTGTTGATTATAGCCTTGAGCTACTAGCAGCGCCTTGAACTGCATTCCTTGCCATCCGAGAGCGGCGTCTATCCGAACCATCAACTACGATCAGCTTTCCAGATCCTATTACAGTGATAACACTGATAGCAGTAACGTCTGCTCTGACAGTGTTATGAAACGGCTCGAAAAAATTACGAGTGTTCCAAATCCAAATCCCCGGAAGTACCAGATTGCTGGCTGTGAATGTCGACACGAGCTTTTGTCACTGCCACTCACGGCGGACCAGTCAAAAATATAAATCGCACCAACAACCACAAAAAATTCTTTGAAATTAATTTGCGAGTCCGGTATTCAGGGGCCAATAACCTTTTGGAGCAGGCAGACGAGCGCCACAACGTGGGATAAACGAGATAAACTGAATCACTTACCTTTTACTTGTGATAAACCTACATTGACAAAATTACATTAACAAAATTAGAAAAATATCAATGGTACGCTGATCAAACCGATGTACACAAAATATTAAATAAAGTAGTGTTGCTAATAATCTCCACAAGTAGTACATAACCATTTTTTCTTAATGTTTTTGCTAAAAATAGTGACCCAAACAAGTACGCGTTTAAACATTCCATTTTCGCTGATTTTAATACACTTTGGTATAAAACGACGATCTCGTAGCCCAATAACGAATGCCTACAAATTTCCCGGAATTATCTCTACCTCTTCTTACTTAATTAATTAGCATCTACGTAATGGATTCTTATTGATAAAAACACGGTGATCTTTAATCGTTGATTTCTTCTTTGGCGATTCTGCAGTACGAGTCAAACGGAAGCTAGGATAACAAATCAATCACTTCCATACAATTCAACCTACTCTCAAACTGAACTCTGTGACTTGAGCAGATAAAACCGATTAAGATAGCAATTTAGCTTTCGTTGCCCCGACACTCTCGAACCAGACTCCCTAAAGCTATTAAGAGAACAATACGCTATAGAAATAAAGATAATTGTTGATTGCAGCAATTGGTTACAGACTTTTTTTTAAAATCCCACCAGTCATTCAATTGTTCGACCCACTAAATTTGACAGCCTAAAATGCAGGAATAAAAAAAAGCATATCGAATATGCAGGAAACGCTTTTTCAAAGAATGCACTGACTCAACTTTCTGTATCTAAATGGTCACTTTTGCTGTTATCAGGGCAGGTAAATCGATAACTACTCCCATCACTATTGATAAGCTTCAAGGCCTAGTTGTTTTGTGACGAAAAACCATTGGCCCTGGTTAATTACTGTCATATCTTCCGAAACGCGTGTGCATACACCATAATATGCAGCCTATGGTTAAGTTGCAGTTTAAATATATTATGCTACCTATTAGCAGCTGCGATACTAGAGAAAAATAGTTTATAACTTTACGATAACGAGTTAAGTATTTGTCACGTATCCTTCCTATGGCGACCGTAATATTTATGTCAAAGCTGGAGACTTACCCTGTGTGTTGTGCACCGAATTTGCTCCCATCAAAACCAGTGTGAGGCAAAACGTAACAAAGATAAAGCGGAGCATCTTGTGTAGCGTACGTAGAAGGTGAAACAGTATAAGAGCCTCTTATTTTTTTGCGTTATATACGAGTTTATCTAATCTATCAATCATTTTAGTGACAAGGAGGAGCCATTTTCAATGAAAACTATGAGGTACACTTGCCCCGATACACGATAGTGTAGATCTGTTGTTCACATATTATGTCCATGTTACTTCTGTCATTTGTTTATCACTTTATCACTGGAAAGTGACTACTTACATAAAACTTACTGCAATAATGTAAGTTGGTTTATTGTTTTAAGGTCATCTTCATAGTGTAATTTATCTTCCTATCTATAGATCATGAATCTCTCCAGATATCTTAACAAGCACGTTCATCCCTTCACAGTGTTAATTTGTGGTGCCATATTTTCAGCTATCGTAAATTAACATTGCATAATCAATAACGTTATCAACTAATTAAATCACCAATAGGCATAGGAGACGTGTATCAATATTTGCATGGGTCTTATGCAGAGATCAATAACCCTTCCGACAAATAAAAGCCCTAATTCCTGAACAGAGTCAACAATCCGCCATGGTAGAAGAATCTATGGGAGAGTGTTCCAACGAATACAGGAGAGGTGGCGCAATTCTGTTTTTTTTTACAATTGATCCCCAATGAAAGGCCAACCGTAAAAGATGCGATACACTGCGATACACAGAAAATAGACAGTGACTCCATAGTTGGATCCTTTTATCTTGGAACTTTCTGCCAGTGATGGATCCCATTCATCTCCTGCCGCTGGTTTAGGGCCTTTTTATGTGGATTTTGTACAGTCCACAGAAGAGCTCCGGCCATATTGGATTCCGTCTGGCTCCTTGCTTGGCGAGTTGATTTGCCTTCATGTTGCCTCCAATGTCCGAATGGCACTGGCACCCACCAGAGTGTGATACGGTTGTCAGTTGTCAATTTCTTTCTCAAACTAGTTTGGAGTCGCAGGTACGGGCTACTAACGCCCTCAGTGCAGCTTAACTGTCTCTAAGAAGTCCTATTTTCCCCTTTCTTGCCCATTTCTAGGTTTCTGAGAGCACAGAAGTTTATGTCATAGATCTTTGCTTGAAAGATGGCGGCTTTTTTCCCTAGTAATTCCGAGATTCGGCAGCTTGATCTTCTTTCTGCTTTGAACCTTATCCATATGGAAGTTAACCTCTGGTCAAAGTTCACTCCCAGAAGGTATTTGACCTCTTTACTAAGATTCAGGCTGGTGCCCCCCACAGTAGGTGCCTTTATGTTGGGCTTCCTCCTGCTAAAAGGCACCACCACCGCTTTCAGGTGAATGAATGCTTAGGCACCACCTCTGTGAGATATTCAGAGCCTTTTGCAATTGCTTAGATACCAGTTTGACGTGTTTACCAGAGATTACTATGATCAGGTCATCTGCGCAAAGTAACCTTTTTGTGTTAGCATGGTTAGTAGGTCATCAACTACAAGTGACCATAACAAGGGCGATAGTACCCCCCTCCCCTTGAGAGCACCCTCTTTTGGTCATCACAGTGACTCCTCGCCTAGCCTCCACCAGGCGCCCTAAAAGGTTTAAAGGCAATTATAGGGCCAATTCTGTCCTCTCTTGTGTGAAGATTTTTGAGGCTGGAGTGAGGCTTTCTGTCTCTATCTGTTGAAGAGAAGCTTTTATTTCTTTGTGAGCCTGAGAAGTGAGTGCTAATGTTTCCCTTGCACTCACCGTGTATTTCCCATCGGGTTTCTCAAAATTCCCAATAGTTTTGGAGTTGTCTTTTTGTATGAGCTTTTGTAGGCGCGATGCTGTTGGTACCGAATTTATACTTTCACAGCGTCAAGTCCTTCTTTTGGATCTCCTTATCACGGAATTGTACTCGGCTAGGGCGCTTCTGTACTTTTCCCATGTTTCTTCGTTTGGCTTTGTTGAATAGACTGCTGACTGTTAGTAGCCCGATGATTTTCTTATTTCTCACCACCAGGGAACGTTCCTCGTTACCCTTTAGTTTTGTGGAGTAGTAGCGTTAAGTAGGAGTCTTTGTAGGTCATTTGAGGCTATTTCCAGTTTCCCTTTTGTGTCTATAGCTTTTGGGAGATCTCATCAATTTCAGACTCCTCATTGGAGCACCAGTTGTGAGACCTTGATTGTAATTGATCGTATGCATGGTGCCTTTCTCTCGAACCTTACAATATGCTTATGATCCGAGAGTGAGGTCTCGTCTGTTACATGCCACAATAAATTAGCGGAGTTGAGAGAGTAATATCTAACACCTCCTGCATAATTTTGTTGGCAAAGGTATGGACGTGGTTCTTGTATTACAACAATCGAACATCTTACACAGCACGTCGTAGGCCTCCTTGCTGTGCTGGGGGTTCGCCTGTAGGAAGACGATTGATCTCTTAGGCCCATCGGCTCCGTAGGCGGACGACTGACCGGTTGTTGGGGGTGGCGCTACTAGCCTTAGGCTTCCTCGCATCTTTAGGCTTGGTTGCCACTTGTCCAAACGTGAAGCGGGCCCTTAGGCCTTTCTCCTCCAGACGTATTAGCGAGAGTTGGTCCACTGACATTGTTAGATGAACAAGGGCACCTCCTGGTCTCTCTTCAGCACTCGTCATTCCTTATTGTTGAAGCCGATATTCTGCTTCTGCAACAACCCAAGGATACCTCCGTGCTCTCGTTGTTCCTGTCCGAAAGGTAGACGCTCGCAATAGTCGCCTTTGAAATCGACATCTGTTAGTGGCGCACCTTTCCGTGGCTTGATGCTTGGGACTACTCCTGTAAGCCATTCTGCGGAGGTCTCACCAGCAATCAGCATGACTATTTAGAAATTGGAGTAAAATTAGATTTGTAGAAAAGTTCGTAGTTGTCATTTTAAAGTTAATTAATCATATTTTTCTTCTGAGTATTTAAATTCAATAGATATTTGACGTCAAAATAACTTTTGGAAATCTTAGTTTCCCGTGAGTTGGAGATAAGTAGGACTTCTGTTGCAAAGATGGCCGACATTAAATAGCATTGCTGTGAGAACATGTTCCACAATGCTATTCGACAAAAAATGTAATACGTAAGTAGTCGGGAGACAGTCTAAGCTCGTACACTTGGGCGGTATCGCCAATCAAATTTGCTCTTGAGAAAAAAAACTCCTATTAGTTATGAGGTGTCCGTAAAGGCATTAATTAATTAAGTAAGAATATGTAGGGGTTATTCCGTGAATTTTTCTGAAGGCATTCAGGCCTGGGCTACCACTTTACCAGAGCAAGCAGTATGTAGACGAAAGAAAATTTTTCTGATAGATTCGTTTCTGGGGCACGGAAGTGTTAACCGTGAGTCTCGCAATATAGAAATAAGTGAAAAATAATTCGGTTTTAGACCACTCACGCATCGTATGTGTGGTTCAGATTAAGAGTTTTACGGCTTTGCCCAGGTGAAAGCTGACGTCTTTCGGCCATAATTAAAATCAAGTTGTGACTGCGGATATTTTTTTCAAAACGGAAATATTCAAGTGGATTCTGTGAGTTACAGTTAAATTAACTAACACACTGAAAGGAATTAATTCTAATGCGACAGTTCTTATTCATGCTAAAGAAAAATATGGTTGTATAAAGACAAAATGATAAAATAGACAGTTGGCTAGGCGCGATACCATCGCGTAACGTCGTATTTAGTCGAGGACAAGAGAATTAAACGCGCCAGTGGAGTATTTTACCCTGCAAAGGGATACTATTAAGTGCCGGTGTTGAATTACTTATGGTCCTTTGCACCGACAAATTTAAGCGGAACTTAGCTTAAGCGTAGCTTAAAATCCATGGCAATGATTATTGAAACAATGGTTGTCATGGATTTTAAGCTACGCTTAAGTGAACCACCGCTTAAATTTGTCGGTGCAAACGGCTATTAGTCGCGAAAGCAACAACCTGTTCCGTTAGTGCTTGTATAGTTTAGAAAATTTAAATCTTGAAAGAATAATGTATAAATTTGTGTAGTGAAAATTTTCCATTGAAAACCCCATTATCTATAAACTGTAGCGCTAATAAAAATTTTTCTTGCTTACATTCTATAAAATCGTCCGAAAAAAAATTCGCCGTGAAGCCAGGGAATCAACTCTTAACCTATCGAAGAAGTTTAATGGGGCAAAGTTCCAATCTGCTCTTCTTATACATGTTAAAATACAAAATCTAATAAAAGTTTAATTTAATTGGCCTTGGTGTTTGGGATGACAGTAGACTTAATCCCACTCGGTTGCCGACCCAATCACGAGTAACATTTTGTGCATTGCATTTGCAACGAAAACGGACAATCTATAGGAAGGTATCCGTTTTTGAAACAATTCGAACAATCCAAAGTTCGTGACACAAAATATGAATCCTGAAGAAACATTGGGCGTTGTACAGGTAGTAGAAGCCATCGAAGATGCAAAGGAAAAAGCTACCATAGTTAGACAGATTTGGAGATGTGATTTCTCACCCAAACATTTTTAGAAAGTATTTTCGAAGAACACCGGAGTTTGCCTGTGAGGTAATAGAGATAAATACACCGTTTGTGGGACTCCTGGTGACAACTGAGCGATATCATAGTCTAGCCCAAAGATGTTATATAATATAAGGATTGCTCGATCACTGAATTTTTTCGCCGCGTGTAGTGACGTCACTGGCGGACCCAGACGCACCGCATGCTTTGATTTTTAGATTTGTGCACCACTTTCATTTGTATTTTATATTATGTAGGATTCTAAGAGCTCCTTCCCACGATGCGTTTTTGAAACGCTGCGCAGAGTGGAAATTTTCTTCGAAAAGAAGATACGGTTATGCGGAAATCTCAGATGAGAAAGAACTGAAGTTTATAAGTCTCTTCTGTACAATTTCTGTTATAATTTTGGAGTTTGTCACACCGTGCTACAATGGTTTTTACCACACAATATGAAGTGTTTAGCCTAATACAGCTTCGCCTTCCTTCAACGGTCGAACTACAACCCCCACATATCAGTAATAACAATCTTAAACATAACAAACTTAGCTTTATATACAAAATATCAGTACACAAATATGTACGCTCTTTACTAAGGCACAAGTAAATCAACTCTCCTCAAAGCAGACACCATTTTTAAAAAAATGACGCCCCTTCTTGGTACGTGCGCTTTTGTTGCGTGAAGGCGCTTCTGAAAAGCGCTTCGTGCTACTTGTGACGTTGCAAATCGCACCTTGTGAAGGGGTCACGCTACAAGCCGCTTCAAAAAAACGGCTGGTAAGAAGGGGCTCTAATACGTCCAAATGGATGTTATATAGGTAGGTATTTAAATTAGAAACACTTGTCATTCATCGTCTACAAGTCTACAAATTCTCCTTCGGTTTTTCGCATACTCAAAATGTCGTGAACCCATTTTATCCTGCGTTTTTGGTTTTTTTACTCTTCATCATCCATGGAAATTGCAGCTAAATCAGTTTATTTCAACTTTGTCCATCTTAAAATAACGATTTCTCGACGTTCTCCTTGACACTGGCTAAAATGAGCGCCAGTTGAGTGTAAAATGTGAATACTACCCCAAATTGTTATTACAGTCCAATACTGCACGCCGCCGTCCAAGCATTTTTGTTGCAATATAGCGAACACATACACACAGTTATAAGTCGAATGTAAAGACGTTGACAACTTAGCAAATTATAACTGTCAATTCTGACAGCCAGGTCCGTTGGTGACGTCACATATGACTTAAACTCGGGCAACATTACAAGTATAGGGATCGAGCAATCCTTATATTATATAGCATCCTTGAGTCTAGCCCTCCTCTCAAACAAGTCTGAAAGTTCACTTTCTAAAACTTCCATTATCTTCCCTGATTCATTCACTCAAATGGAGGACAGAGCTGAAATCCTTTTTAGGTCCACAAAAATGTTAGTCTTCGTTTTTCCACTGGTTGTGGTACCGAGACATGTGGAACATCAATGAGGTAATGATCTGTAGGAAACCCAGGTCTCTCCGTGAGGACCCTCAGGTGTAGCAGTATCCCTATCTCCAGTTACTGTACTTTGAAGCATTAGATGACAATGTTTGTTTACCTCCTCGATCTCGTGATATATTATTACTTTCAATTTTACCTTGTTATCCTATTCATTTGGACGACGGCAATATCTCTATTGCAGTAATGACCATGGGTAGATAAACTCCTGCGTAAGTTATTGTTTTATTGGGCTTAAGATAATAATGATTAGTATTCTACTTAATTGTCGGTACATACGTAAAGCGATTGTATCACCTTGAGGTTTTTTATCTGAGTATATATTCCGTAATTGTTGCACCTAGAGTATGTTTTTCGGTTTGGCACTAACGTTAGCTTTCTACGCGGGCGGTGGTGAAGGGGCAAGCTTGGCTTGTGGTTAGTAACGTTTTCATTGGACGTTAATGACTCAGTGTTTTCAGAAACCCGAAATCAGGAAAACAATGCTTTGTTCTGGGAATCACAGGCTCTTGCTACAGTGATGGAACGTGTGAAGAATAAACAAAACACAAGTAAGTAACGTGAAAGTAAGTACTTGCCATTACCCAAATTTCCTTTTAGATACTGCGAAAAATGTAATCCTGTTCCTTGGAGACGGTATGTCAATTCCTACACTAACTGCATCCAGAATTCATCTGGGGCAAATATCCGGACATAGCGGAGAAGAGGCCCAGCTGTCCTTTGAAAAGTTCCCCTTCACCGGTCTGGCTAAGGTAAGCTGAACCACGAGCAATCCGGCCACATTTTTGCCTTTCAGACTTACTGCGTGGATGGACAGGTAGCCGACTCAGCCTGTACGGCCACAGCATTCCTATGCGGTATTAAAGCGAATGTGGCCACAATCGGAGTGACAGCTGACGTGAACCACAGAGATTGCGAAGCGGGTAGAAACGCAACGAATCACGTCAAGTCAATCGTCCATCTATCACAGATGGCTGGCAAACGCACAGGAATAGTTACCACAACTACGGTAACACACGCGACTCCTGCCGGTAATGGAAGTTTAATCTTGGTCTACTGCTAACTTTGGGCTTATAGGTGCATACGCGCACACTCCCAGCAGAGACTGGCAGTCGGACGCTAACGTGGTTGATGATGGAGAAAATCCAGAGCACTGCGTTGACATCGCAAGCCAGCTAATACACGGAGACACCGGCAAGAATCTGAACGTGATCTTCGGAGGAGGCAGGAAGAACTTCATCCCGAACAATATTAGGGATGACGAGGGAATGTTTGGCTCACGTCTTGATGGGCGCGACTTGATCAGCGAGTGGAAAGCAGCGGGTGCTGGACGCGAGTATGTTTATAACGTTAGCGGATTGAAGGCGATCAGGGACGACACCCATTTCGCGCTCGGGCTTTTTCATTCCGATCACATGGACTTCAACTTTGACAGGAACCCCACGCAGCAGCCGTCACTGGCGGAAATGACACGCAGGGCAATCGACATTTTGTCCAGGTCCGAAAGCGGCTTCTTTCTGTTTGTGGAAGGTGGACGCATCGATCACGCTCACCATCTGAATTTAGCCAGGAAGGCTTTGGATGAGACCCTTGAGTTTCATAAGGCGGTTGAGATCGCGGATGAAATGACCGATGAGCGCGAGACTCTTATCGTGGTTACGTCAGATCACGCCCATACAATGAGCTTTGGTGGGTATCCGGAAAGAGGGAGTGACATTTTGGGAATAGCGGGATACGGAAGCGATAACCTGCCGTACACCACCTTAACTTATGCGAGTGGAGCCGGCAAAAAAACGGATCCGCATGGAAATCGTATTGACATCACACGGCACAATTTCAGTAAGTTTTGGAAGTTTAGATCTTAGCTCACGATGCTCTTTCAGGTGACCCTAATTATGAATACCCCAGCTACATTCCCTTAAGTGCGGAAACTCATGGTGGAGACGATGTTGCGATCTTTGCAAGGGGACCATGGGCTCACCTCCTGTCGGGGGTTATCGAGCAAAATGTTATTCCTCACGTTATAAAGTTTGCGTCTTGTGTTGGAGAAGATAACGACACGTGCGCGGTTGCATTTGGAGGTGTAACCCACCTTGGTGCCCCACTGTCTCTAATTTTTCTCTTAGTCGTTCCCCTCCTTTACACAGGTTGCCAAATGTTTTGGTAAACTTACTTAGCTTTAAGTATTGTAATTTGGGATAGAGGGGCATCCTCGGACTTCCATCTGTTTGTGGTTTCCCTGGATCAATATAATGCACAATGCTAATATAATGTTACTATGGACAAATAAAACGCTATTCGATAATAGGAGCTTTAGTATTTACATTTAAGGTGGTTAAATATTTCTGGTCCTTCTCTGTTTTCTATTCGACTTCGATCAAAAGAAACAATAGGAACATTATGCCTGTAAATTTTACTGACAAAACAGGACTTCGAAACACGGGCTGACTGCCGGAAAAATGCGAATTTGAAATTTACACGCCACGGACTGTCAAATGACCCGAGACTGCCTCGCACATCGGCAGGAAAGCGTACCCTTATTGTCGGCATTGTTTCAACCTAGAGAGCAAACCCTTCCCCCGCCTCCTGCTTTACGTAGCAATATACATTACCTTAACCTTGAAAGGTCGGGGATTGAATCTTGCACCGTAAGACTTGAAGGTTAGAATTTCTCATTAGAACTTCAGTGAAGCTGCAGCTTCAATCTTCGGCTTACATTTTCTAATTAAAAATTGATGCAATTTCAATGAAAAGCCTTTGTAAGTTAAACTCAATACTGTAAATGTTTATATTTCATTAAAGTCTGTAATAAAATGTATAAATCTTTCACCGTGAAAAATAATTGGTATATCTTGACACAAGGTGTGTATCCATATCGAAACAATCTTTTGTATTTTCTTGCACAAACGCCAAAAATAATGACTTGAAATATTTTCGACTAACATGTTGAGCCGATATTTGTTAGTGTCAGTCAGATACCTTCTAACAAAACAAAGGTTATTAGACCGTATCTTTCAATTCGGCTGCAAAACAAGCGATACGCATCCGCGCGCGAAATTGTAATTCCGTCGAATTCGGCAGGATGAAAGTGCAAAATGCTTTTCCTTTCCGTGTTACAGTTTCCTGCATCGAATAATCCATTTATTTCCTTCTGTTATTGAAGTGAAACTAAACCTCAATATATTTAATACCTTTTTGTGGTTGAGGGCACGGGCAGACGGACTTACCTGTAGTTTTCGTGTCACGCCCAATTAGGCTTTCAATCGTTACAAAATAAATAAGCGACACGGAAACACAATCATTAAAACAAATTGGATTTGAATTTTAAATGGCGTTTGCTTTTAGATGTTCGTTTCGTGTCCTATGCAAATGTCTTTATTTATCGACGTCTGGAAAAGGGTTGGGAAATTACTTACTACTTTAAGCACCCTCATTGGGATAATGCCGCGGTTTTATCGAAATTATTTCAAGCTTACTATTGTTTCAGTGCTTATGACTTCCGTTGCTGGAGAAATACGGCTGTTTGTTTTCTTTAATCTGTTGTTTTATTCCATTTGTGATTTTAAAATATGATCTCAATGAGCTTTGAGCTTAAGTTACACGTGTCAATATTTTCTTCAATTTTATGAATTTCTTGTGGAAAAGCCTGCGTGAATCCATTTTATACATGTGTGTATTTTAACAATATTATGAGATCAACATTAATCCCTTCACTTTGATCTAAAATTGATGATGTAACCACATGATCTTAAAAAGTTCTTAAAGAAAACCGATAGTTGAAAAAAAAATAGACACTTAGGGCCAAAGTACACATACCACGCAACAAGCGATCGATTGACACAATTAATTACAGAAATCTTAATTAGCTAACTTAAAAACAACTTATTTGTTTAAGAAATGCTTCCTTCCGCAATAACTACTCCATAAACACAACATTTTGACTAACTCCCATATAAATTAAACTTTTTTAATGCGACTTAAACATTCACATTAAACCATGTAATATCCTAGAGTAACCACTAACGTCTACACTACTTTACAACTGGCAAGACGGACTGTCTCAAATACCGCCACAACTGCCAATCTCCGAAACAACAAGCGTCTGCTTCTGCCATTTAAAACATTCTTCGCTCTCTGAGTTTCAACTTCCATCCACTTCAATTTGCGCCTTGAAACTAAACATCGAAGTTTCCTTATCGGCGAAACCTGCTTATCTTGAAACTAATTAGCTTAAGCCAGTGATAACAAATTTCTTATCGCAACGACCGGATTTAAATGAGATAACTGTAACCATGTTACGCAAATATTTCCTTATCTTCCTGAATGAGCTATAAAAGAAAAGTAATTAAAGAAAGACTGGGGCACAATAAAAACAAAAATTGGAGTGATACACTCGGAAAGTGGGTAACTTTCTCTTTCGAAATAGAGTTTTCTATTGATGGAAACGCCATCTTTATTTCACAGCCGCGTATGAACTCATGTGAGCGATTTAATTTAAGCTGTTAATTCGCGTGGTTATTTTTGAGTGCGACTAATACAGCCTTCTTGAAGTCAAGGACGGTTTCCCTTTTTCTATGACTTGAGCTCCAAGACGACTTGAAAATTCACGGTCATTTTAACGTTGGTTCTTTTCCTTTTTTGTGAACCCGAGCTTATAGCACGTCGCAATCGGCGGCAACTTGTATATGATGTCGGCCAAATGAGCGGACTCGAGTGCCACCAAGGGTTGTGGCCCTCCAAATCGGTCGGAAAATGTACGCAAGTATATCAAAAAATTCCAAAAGGATCCCCCGAAATCTTGTTGTTACCTTATATACTCCCTAAAATACAGAGAGGAACGTCGGTAATTCCAGCCAACCGATGTATTGGGTTGATACTGACCAAAGGTTAAAACTTCTTTAATTCATTACTTGAGATCATCCCAAAAATCTGTAATTGGTCTTAAAATTCAAATTAATTGAGAGCGCTTCGTTTGAGACCACTCGTGTTCTAGTCGGATGCTGTTTACTGCAACTTATTTAAAAGGGGTTAATTATGTTTGACTAAATGGGCGAGATGAAATTTTTGGAGCGGCAGTGTTGGTAACGAAGGGCTTCGAATCGCATCCAGATACCGGGTGTTCAGCAAAGATGGTGGATACATAAATACGGTGTGGTCATAAATTCCGGTATGGAAAACGAGTGCTTCGTTGGACTGTTGGTTTTCAATACGTCTTTGTTTCTTTAATTGTCCCTGCTTGTTGGGTAAAATTGTATCTGTTTTAATGGGGATGTAAAATTACAGTTCTTAGCTTATCATAAAGTAAAGCTACCATGGAAAATGGTGCCCGCGTAGTTTTTTTTAAATGTTCAATCCGTCCGGGATTGGTAGTACAAAAAACACTAACCAATGAAAAATTAGACATCGTAAGGAAGTACGGATTATCCAAAGCCGTAAATTAGTTGAGGAACTGAGGAACTCATTAATTTCGTCCGTCGAAATCCAACTGGACACTTTGAACACATTTTACATTGAAGTTTGTTATTCTATAACATACAGTGTGTCCCAGGTGGAACGCACCATAGGCAAATTTGAAATTAGCGTTTAACATACTACTCCAATCTCTTTCTAGTACAAGGCAACTGCAATAACGTACTTTGAACGCTAAACTTTAAATACATATCAAAGGCCTCCTGGATCCTTCCCAAAGGAATACATTAATTCTATGTCCCTATAGTGCAAATTTATTTTATTAGACCGGCTTCGTGTTTGATTTTTACATAATTAACTAAGATTCGGTAGTTTTTATCCTTTGCTCGACGATGTAGACTTAATTTAATGTTAAATTTCGAACTACCCCTTATAATAACATAAAGGTTTTTTTTTTGACGTGCTAGTAAAACATGGGCACCTTCCCCCGCCACTTTTTGTGACGTCACAACCTTGGGCTATCTCCAGGTCATGACTTGGGGATTCCCACGGTCATGAAAATAGGATTATCCCAAGGTCATGACCCTGGTATTTCCCAAGGACATTGTCTCCGGATTTAATAAGGTCATGGCGCTGTGTTTTTTTCAAGCGTGAAACTTGAAAAAAGTTACGATTTTCAAAAATGAACTATAGGAGAACGATATATGTAAGTACAGTTTTTGGTTGGCCTGCTTGCTTGCTTGTTGTTTCCTCTTTTCTGTAAAATTTTTGCAATACATAATTTGTCATTTTTTAAGGATAGCATAAGTTTTTTGCAATACTGCATTTTTCTCTCGTCACAAAAGAATTTACTTATGACACGCTTTGGTTTTGCTTTGTACGCACTACGCATTCATCTCACTGAAGGCCCCGGCCTTGGGGCCAAGTCCAAATCTCAACGCTATGACTTTATCCCAGATTCCAAGACCATAACATTGATCCAGCATCTAGGACCAGTACCAAATCCCATAGTCATGACCTTATGCAGTCCCGGGGCAATGATCTTGTGAAATTTCAGGGAAATGACCGTGGAAAAATCCAAATTAATGATGCCACAAAAAAGTGGTGGGGCCAGGTCTTCGTGTTCAACTCGTGCTAAGAGCGAAGAGCGGGTACGTTCTACATTAATTTCATGGTACTCTAATGAAAGGTCTCATCCAAATGCATTGGTTTGTACAAACTTATAACACGCCCACCCGACTCAACAAAAGGAAACGTTTTCTATCAAATACCACCCTTCTTTCTGACCCTTTATCAAAAGAGGGAGTTTAGGGAGAACCGAGGGGAGAATTGGTTTTCTCCTTCACGGTACTCTAATGAAAGATCTTAATGAAAGGAATTCATTTCTACTAACCATAGTCCTCTTCCTCGACTCGATTGATTGATCGAATATCTCGAAAACGGTTTGTCGCAGGATAGTACTCACCAAGGCAAAATAAATCGTCTTGACGTGACATACCTATTGGTGAAGTTGAAGCGAGTATCTTGAAAATGAAGTGTCGGAAGAGGGTACTCATAAAGGGCAAGTGGAACGTCAGGATGAGACTTATCTACTGGTGATGTCAAAACTTTCAGTGCAAATATCTGCAGAACGAAGTGTCGGAGGAGGGCGCTCTCAAAGGGCGGAAAGATCGTCTCAACCAGACCCATCTATTGGGAATGTAAATACTTCATTGTGAAAATTGAGAAAGTGTTGGAGGAAGGTACCCACAAAGGGAAAACGCAATATTTCAGAGAATTTATCTATGAACTTGATTCTTCTTGCATTATAAAGCGTAGATTTTGAATGTATCCCAGGCGGCCTTTAAATGTTTATGGGCAAAGATGCCCTTCCTCATTACTCATCTACTAAGAAAGTCAACATTGATAAATATAGCAATCTACTACCTTATAACGCAACCATTTAATTACCTTGCGTACTTGAAAGAGGATCGTATCACGTATGTATAATTACGAATTTAAACCCTTGGGAAATTGCACAAATTAAAATTTTAATTCATTTTTTGCTTCCTGATGGTCATTAACTTTGTTTTAGTTTCTCTACACTTTACGGAACACTATTAGACAATTTCAGGGAAAATTCTGGAATGGAGCGACATCTGTGCAAATGGTCTATGTTGCAAATTGAGAATCTGCAAAGGCTTCCGTATAGATCACTATGAATAATCAAAATCTTTAATACATCTAACTATTTTTGATATACGTAGAAAAATTACAACACTACATAACGCAACTTTGTGTAACAATATTAACATGAACAACAGCTTTTCAGTTAAAGTCGGTGAAAAATTTTACAGCCCCCTGCTCGCTTTCTCTCGGTTCGTTTTCACTTTCCGCCCTTATCCCGAAGAAATCTTGTCGCTTCGTTTTTCTTCCGATAGAGGGATCGCGTTTGTAATTGCCGCCATGTTTCGCTGCGTCGCCTCTCTCCACCAGCGAAAGGGTTCTGCCGTCGATAAACTCAACATCCCCATTGAGCAGATCGCGACGCTGTCTGCCTTTGGTAATCGCAGGGACCTGTTCGGTTTCCGCGTAGTTCGCGTACTCTTCCTCCTTTTGACTTTCCTCACCGTCGCCGTCATGATGATCGTGACCCGCATGATTATAATCCCAATAATGTTCGCCGTATCCTCCGTGCTTATCACCCCATCTCACCTGAAAATTAAAGTCGATAGTTAGGGATTACGTAGCACGAAATTTATTGTTGGCATTTTGTTGGATATGGGAAGGATGTTCCGCCGTAACTTTTTTTACGCGCTCGTAAAGTTTATTGATTTATGTTTGTATTTTTACGAGTTTCACTTAGAAAAACGTAAGGGTAGCGAAAAGTTTGGACGTCCAATAAAATTTAACGCGTGTTGCGTGGAGGCGCCGCAAGCGCGTCAACTTCCAAAATTTAATTAAAATTCTTTGGCTTAATGAAGTTAAATGTTAAAGGCAGCCTAAAGCGATTAAAGAATGTGAGTCATATTTACTTTTGTTTTAAATTCTCCTGCGTGCGGATGGGCTTTTTCGTGTCGTTCAATAAAGTGATGGTCATTCCCGCGTTTCTCTCCGAATTCATAGTGATCTTTGGCGGGAACGTGTGCGTATCTGTTAGTAAAGGAAAATTGATTAGTTAGATTTAAGACAGCAGTTACACCCCCGATTATTAAGTCTTAACATTAGCACCTTGCCCTGACGACTTCGGTCGTTTAGATTTATTTTTTCGAACCGCTGCTCCCACTCGTCATCGTCCTCTCGTACGTGCCCAAATTCGATTTCGTCAGGAACTAACTGGGCCATGTAGATGTCTCTGTATACGTAAATTAAGACTTATCTACTCGTTTGGCACAAATAATTAGTGTAAGTAATTAGCCCTTACTGGTAGTATTTACTGCCCGCGTGCACCGATTCTGCAAATCCAGTTTCGGAGGGTATCCGGTCTTCTTCTTCGGCCGCCACTTCCGTGTTCACTTGACGCTTGTCTTTAATTTCTGCCCCATAGCCAACGATTAGCACCGCGAGAAATAAGAGCACCTGAAATTGTAAGCAGTTAATTGTTAAACCGATGATGGATTGAGCAATTTACCTGGACATATTCCCTACTGTTCCTCATTGTAGGCTGTTGACAATGGTAATGTGATGTAACTTCACCTTATATATACCATGCGGAGACATTTGTGTGTTGTTGTCACAGTTCCACCATTCTACTAGCACGCCGACTTTCTTGCTCTTTCTTCTAGAACTTTGATTTCACTAAAAACCGTTCGTGATTATCGGAGTGTGATTTTTGTCATTTCTTCACAATTATGTTTATACGGACGAGTGCACTTCTAGAATGTTTCCATTTTTTCGGTGTTAATTTTTAATAGCCACTTTCTCTCGATGCTAATAGCGAAGTGTGCTTGAATGGGGAGTAGTAATTAACTCACATTAATCAATTACTTCGTATAGGTGTTGCATCAGCGATGTCCTAAATATTCAATAACGTAGCAAATGCGTACGAGATTGCAATAGTAATAGCGACCTACCTTATGCGTTATGTTGTCATTGAAGGAAGTAATGGCGTGTACATTCCGTTAGAAGCGCCGGTTGAATCCTTCTGGGGGCTGCCAAACAATCCGAAGCAATTGCTTAAAAAAAATCTAAACAAAAAAGCATGCAACTTAGATGCAAAAGTTTTTCCTACATTTAGGCGATTTGAGGTTTGACAGGAGAGAGTTTTCCAGGAGGAATTGTTTCGGTCACGTAATAGACATTAGAAAGCAGTAATTATTGTATTGTTACAATTCATATACAGATGAGTTCTCATTCTGATGCGTGTATCCATAATGTCTTAAGTGCATGTAAGATAGACAATTTTGCTGTAGTGTCCGTTTCCCCAAGTGCCTTTTGGGACGGGAACGGGGAATCCAAGTAAAAGAAGAATATTTCGGATCCGGCTAATTTTAAATGATATTCGGGGTGGGTATGGTATTCTGACGGATTCCACCATTAAAACTCCGTCCATATCGAGAGGTTATATCACGAGGTCAAAAAAATCCAGGCAATATACCTAAATTTAAGTAAAGTTAAACTGGATTACTGAAAAATGAATTACAAATGATTAACAACAAAGTGATAAGGTAACTGTATCACTTCTTCCGCAACTTTACTTTAACAATTGTTTAATTCACATGTACAGTCGCAGTGTGGCAGCCGCTTCTCGTAATCTCTCCTTGAGCTCTTCTAAAACACGTGCAAAAGGCGAGATCTTTAATGTGTCCCCAAAGTCAAAAATCACACGGAATGATATCCTGTGATCGGGGAGGCCATTTCATGAAACATCTGTCATCTTCCGTAGCACGTCCGACCCACCACTGAGACAGCTCCGTGTTCAGGTACGCACGATCTTATATTTAAAAAAAATCTTCCAAAGGACATGCATACAGTGCTATTAATTAAAAAGTAGACATAGGGTTTCTCCCTATGTCTACTTTTAAATGAGAAAATCTGAATCTGAAGGGCGCCTAATTTTATGCAACCTAATAAAGATATGGCTGGCACAATAATTAATTTTAATATTCTTGCTTTGGGTTTCGTATTTTTATTTTCGTTCGTGTGCAATGTATTCAACTGAAGAAGAAGTTGAAATTGTCAATTGGGATAGTGCCGCAAACAGTTTAAGGAGCGTAAAAGATTTTGTATTGTGGTAAGCTAAAACAACAATATTAAAGCTAATTAATATGACAGCCAGATGTTTATTTGTTTTAAAAAGTTATTTTAGATGCACAAAATTAGGTGCTCTTCAGAAGGATTTTGTCTTTTAAAAGCAGACATGGGAAAAAACACACGTAAGTCCCTATGTCTACTTCGTAATAAATACTGTATATCTGATCAATTGTTAGGTCGTGTGCAATAATAGTTATTTGTGTACCAAGGCCGTAAAAGTGATCTTTTTTGGCCGAAGCTGCTGTTTGTGGCCGAGGCGATAGCCGAGGCCGCAATTCAGATGAGGCCTAACAAATCACTTTTGGCCAAGGTGCACACAACATTTTTTAGGCGATCATCAAAAAAGAATTCAAAAATTTGCTCATAAACATATTTTTTCTGAAAATCATAGTTATCTTAGACAATTAAAAACAAAGCATTTCCTGTCATATGTAATAAATTATAATTAGCATCTTTGCGTGTGTTTTGTGCGTATCAAAATGGGTGATAGCGACAGTTCAGATACCCCAAATGAAATTTTGGAAGCTGCAAGCGTTGCGACCCTAAGTTATATACGATATAAGAGCAGGCGTTTGAGAGTAAAAGTACAATCGCAACTTCCTCCGTTGCACAAGATTTTAATAATGTCAAATGCAATAGGTCCTTCGTAACTGTGGCTTCCAAGACCTTATAGTTAACATGCTGTACAATTATTAGAAACCTGATTACCTACTTTGATGGCAGGTATAGGTAGCTACTTGTGTTCTCGGTTAATTGCTGGTGATTCTTCGCATAATAATGCAAGCCATAACATCTTCCTCATGTTTTGGTTCTACACTTCAAAAAGGTCTGCAAGCAGCAAAGATTGAAACGTCAAACTATAATTTTAAATGTGAACGTTGTGATTATGCAAAATAGTGTGAAACATTCCTACAAGTCCGAAAATGAAAAAAACGCACGTGGATGGCCCAATCCTTGATGGGGCTAGACCAGATAGACGCTTTGTATTAAACAGATTACTGTTTCTCAAACATCAGTTTCAAATAAGTACAGTTTGACAGATGTGTACAATAAAGTAAAGTTTGACAGAAGCGTACAATAAAGTTAAACTTTATGGCCGCAAAAGCGTCCACAAAATCAACGTTTTTGTGATGATAGCCTAAAAATAAGTTTATGGTATTCTGAATCGTAAACAGCTTTGTATTAATCTGTGATTCTATGCATAAAGACACTCTTTACGGGCTAGCCCGTTATTTTTTTTACGGGATAAGTTATAATGGGCTGTTTAGCAACAATACATATTTATTAAAGATATGCAAAGGCAGAAGGCAACAAATAAGAAAAATTAAGAACAATCATTATGTTTACACATATGCACTTCAATCGTGCAGTTAGAATTCCCACTAATCATTAGTCCAGCAGTTGAAGACGATGCAACAGCCCCATTTGGCGTTGAGTGGATATCGCTAGGAACCGCCAGGGGTATCATTGCTGCAACTGCCATTTTGCTCTTCACTGACGCTTCAATGTATCCCTCTGCCACTCTTGAGGACTTCCAGCCACCAATTTGTTTTACTGGCAGAAGATTTCCAGCAGATTCCGCAACCATACTAGCACCACTTCGTCTTAAACAGTGCCCAGTATACTTTTCAGGGTGATCCAGACCAAGGAATTCTGCTACTTTTCGCGGTACACCACCAATGGTATGCATACCAGCCGGCTGAGCAACGCACTTTCCTTTTCTGTATCCCAAAAAAAAGCGTCTCGTTCCAACATCAAGAGGACGTAATTTAGCATATTTTTTATAAATCTCATAAGGATTCAAAGATCCATTTGCATCAGGAATAATAAACGATCTAGAAGTGTGAGTCTTCGTATCTTGCAACTTTACTAGAGCGTACTTCTCATGGTCCTCAATATCATCCACAATTAGCTTAAGTAATTCATCTCGGCGACAAGCCCCATACAGTCCAAAGATCAAGACAACTTTGCAGAGCAAAAAATCATCTGAAGCTTCTAAAATAAATTTGCGGGTGTCCTCAACAGACAAAATCTTAGATTTCTTCGGCACGTAATTAACATTTTGAGCTTTCATGAACGCGATAACCTTTCCAAATCTATAAAACCAATTAAATTAGGTAGATACAGCAAATGCGGTGATTATTGTTCTCGCAACAAACCTAGATATATCAACATTGCCATTAACTATGAGAGCTTTCTTCAGCATTGAAAATTTAGTCCATAGACTTGATGCCTTGAAGACTTTTGATAAACCATCAGAAACGTACGCCAACACAACGGTCTCGTTCAGTACCATTTCGCCGACTCTCTTTGCTCTCCATTCGAGTTCCTTTTCGTACCGGTTTCGGGATTTCTCAGGCATTAATTTTCCACTAGCTTCTTCCGCTTCTTGGATTATTTCGTCTGGAAGATCCATTTTCTGTCAGATTCAAGAAAAAAAGATGTTCACGGACTTTATGTACACGGTATATACTAAAATAGTTTACAATAAATGAAACTGCTGGTTGGATTCCTCGCTGTTTCTAGTTTTATGGATGCAGATAAAATGTATTGCAGTACTAATACAACACATGTTCTGTGGTCCACCTAATCTCCGCACCGTGTACTGTGTTCAAAAATAGTTAAGGTCTAAGGGACATCACCCTTAGAAATATGGCTTACTTGGATTATGCGAAAAACAAACCCGAGAACAAACCTTTCAAAATAAAATAAACCTTTCCAGGGGATAACAGGTAGGTAAATGTAGTGATTACCCACAATTTACGATAATCCTTGTATTGATCGTTTTCACACAATAATAACAAATACGTACAAAAGTTGCACGTACAACGTACAGAGATTAGGTAATGAATTCCCAGAAGCGTTCCTAAAGACTTCTATAGGAAGACGAAATGGTGATAGGGAATTCTTCATTTATGCCATTTGACCAAAAACACTTTATAATAAATTTTATTTTTCATTTGCCTATTATATGTCAATTATATCTGTCATATGTGATATATACAGCAGTCTATTACGCCCAAGGGCATAATGAGAAGAAGAGATATTGAAAATGCATTCTTTGGAACGATGAAAAATAAAATGTTGTATGCACCTCAGGCATTACTCAATATTTAACCCTCGGGCGACTTACAATCCCTCGGGCCGGAGGCCCTCGGGCTCTGTCGCCCTTGGCATAAATATTGCCTTAATGCCCTTGATGCATAAATAACTATAATGACATGTACGTGAAATTTTCTGCATCTCTTCCGCTTTTTCTATTATTTTCTTAACCCACTTTTCTCCTCTTACCCCATCGTACAGTATTTCTTTTCTGCTACCCCCTGGTTTTCTACTTCTTTACATTACGTACCTTCCGCCTTCTCTCCACAAACTCTGCATTTACTTTCCTCTTCTTGCCACTTCTTCTTTCCCCACCACTAGTTTTTGCATCTATACCTCTCAACAGCTTAAGCTCCCCCTCCCTTAGATATCTGCTTCCTCGTGAGATCCCGACGTTCTCTATCTATGTTGCTGCACAAAGTAAGTTCGTCTTCCATGGTTTCCCTTATTTCTCTCCACCTTTCGATCTCTGCCCATCCGTATCCCTTTCTCTCATTATACTTTTTTCTTTATTGTCCCAATTTTCCTTTATGTTTATCCCGAGGTTTATCCAATGTTTGATATTCTCTCACCAATTCCCCTTCTTTTTCTATCCTTTCCTCGAATCTGACAGCTCTGTGTTCCCACACTATCCTTATCTTCTCCTTCCTCCTCTAATATGTAATTTGATGGCTTTCAGTTTATTCCCGGTACACAATACCTTCCTTGTATTCCTTCCATCCCTAAATCCCCGTTGTATACATCACCACCTCTCGTACCATTCTATCTATCTATTCACAGGGAAGCCGGAACGGGCAGCACTTAGGCCACGAACTTATAAATTAAGATGTACTGCTGATCAAACAGTTGCATAGAGGTAGTAATGGCCCTAGCATGGGCGCGGCCATGATGTGCACGTTTTATTTATTTATTTAGAAAACGTGAGGTTAATGCATGTTTATTAGTTGATTTGAATTTCGCGCCAAGTGAGTGCACATCATGGCTGCCCCCATGTAGGTGTCATTTGTCAATTTAGCAATAGCAGTCCATCTTAATTTATAAGTTCATGACTTAGGCACACCAAAGGCCCTCTTTCCTTCGCAACTGGATTCAGAGCCCGTTCCTCTCAACGAAGGATAAGACCCTTTTTAGTCTACGTTGATTCACGCGCTTCCAGATAGCTCTCTCCAGGGAGTTGATGTCTGTCTCTGATCAAAGCGTCACAGTGACAGACCACATGCTCGGTAGTTTCATCTGCCTCGCCACGGAACCTTCACGTGAGCTCCTCCATGACCCTATTGTTATGCAGGTGATAGTTCACCATCCATTGCACTATAAGGGCACCGGTGTTCTTCCTAATTTGGATTCTATTCAGTTTTAGAAGCTTAGAAGACATCGATTTGCCAAGGACCTTGTTAAAAAGGCCCTGTCTGTCTTTTTGCCCTTTCCGGATCCCAAATATTTCATTGACCTGGGCAAACCCAGTTGACATTCTCGAAAAGAGAGCCCATCAAGGCCAGCCCTCTATTTCTTATTCCGTTTTTGAATTTCATCCCCCCCCCCGCGTCTCAACGCCTTAATTCTGTTAATTTTCTTTCCTCCCTCTACTTCCTTTCCATTGCCATTTTCCTTCCTCCCCCTTCCCAAATCATCTTTGATTTTTCGATCCCATTTCTTTCCCAGTATCACTCCATCCTACCCAACATTTTCATCATCTCCTTATATCTGTTGCTATTATTACTGGCTCGTCCTCATATGCCACGGACATTGTCTTCCTTCTTCCAATTACGATTTCTCCACTTTGGAGCTGTCTTATTTAATTTAGTGTCTCCCTTCATACGCCTTCCCTCCTATCCTTATCGTACTTCTTGTTTGCATATAAGTCTTGAAATCCATAAAAAACGCTATAACTTTTCGGCACTTTTTACAACCCCCACGTTAGTAAGGGAGGCATTGCATGGTTGTAAAAAAATATCCCCCACTTTATTGACGGAAATATACGCTTTGAAACACCAGGAATCGAAATCAAACAAAATCTTGATAATTTGGATCGGTGTGTCGGTCTGTCAGCCTGTCGGTATGTCTATCTGTACTTTCATTTCTAGTTAAATGGCTGAATCGATTGGAACCAAATTTGGTACAGATATTTTTAGACAGAAAAGGAAGGAGTTGAATCGAAGATGATCAGATGCGCGGGTAGTATAAGGGCTAGCCACGAATTTTTTTCCAATTATTTTTGTGTAATGCATATCGAGGCATATGTACTGTACATGCGCCTTTGACATGACGTAGAGTCTCACATGAGCTTGTACGGTTATATATTTCGTATTACATTTAAACATCAAGCTATAAATAAAATCATACATTCTCCTTTCCTTATCTTATTTACTAGTTTTCTCCACGCCCGCTTGATACTATCTGTGACGAAAATTGTATCCCTCCCTTCCGCTTTCCCTTCTCTTTAATTGCTACTCAATTTCTCGCCACCTACCATCCCCTCTATTCCATCTACTTCTGTCGCCTCCTCTTTCTCCTTATTTCTCTGTAGCACCTTCATAAAGTGTTGCTTCCTAGTTTGCTTCCAATCATTTATTTGTATTTTCTCTCACTTACAATGTTTTTATCTTTTCTTCTGTTTATCAGCTTCCAGAATTCCTTCTCTGTTTTTGTATTGCCCTAATTTCTCCTTTGTATTCTTTGTTCCTTCATTTATTTTTTCTCCTTTTCTTTCATTCTCCATCATTGTTCTATACCTGTTTCTATCTTCTGTGCACTCTCTGTCCCACCACTGCATTCTTTATCCCCTCCTACCACGTTGTATCCATGCTATTGCCTATGTAGCACCCTCCCTCATACTTTCCCCCTCTACTAATTCCCATCGGTTGGTGACCCGATTCTTTTCTTGTCACACATTAAATTCTTTTATTCCTTGCAATATTTTTTCGTTAAGCGAAAATGAGCATTAAAGCTGCAAGGCCGTGCAGTTTACTTGACCCAAAATTTTATGTAACAATGGGCATTACTGGGCCACCGAATTTGGAAATTTTAATCCTGCCAATTAAGTGAGTAGAATTAAATGTAGTTAATTAGTTGTGTTGCGGCAAACTGAGAAATCCGTGTTCCATTTATACATTTTTGAAATCTATAAAAAGCTACACAATGGTTAAGGGGAGGAGATCTATTTCAATATAATCATGGTACCGTACCACTGAATTCAAAGGTAAGCGCTTGATATTTTTATTCCGTGAAGTATAAAAAGTGGGGTTGTTTTCCTGCACCCCGTTTCTCCGTAGATACCGCTAATTAACTTGTGATTCCGTTCCTACTTTGTGAACGTGCTTCTATTTCCGTGTTTCCGTGTGCCGTAATTTTTTTTAGATATTCACCAGCGACCGCCGCCATTTGCCCACGTGATCTCTGGAGTTTTACGTTTCTGCGTCTGAGTACCCGTGGATTCCGAATTTCTGTTCTGAAACCGCCGACTTTGACCAGGTGCAAGGGTTGAAGGGTTAAAACCTTCTGGTGGCGCTCGAGATTCGCGGAACATCCCGCCGACGATGTTTGCTCCCCTTTTTACTCCCTCTAATTTTTGAATGCTACGGATGTCTTTCAAACTTTATATTTGAAATTCTCTTTCAAAATTTTAGCTTGAAATCCTCTTTCAAAATTTTAGCTTGAAATTGTTTCCTGAAGAACCAGCGCCAGAGAATGGCGGCAACGGCGACGGCAAGACGTGACAACCAGACATTCGCGCCGACAACGTTCACGAGGAAGTCAACGAAAACGTCGTCGGAGCTCCGGGTGTGCCCAAAATCGCGAGAAGCAATTAACCAAGTCAGGGGATGAGATTGTCAAAACAGAGTTCATTCTTTTTCAACCCAAATCTTCTTCAACGGCTATTTAGTTGATTTGAAATGAGATGGCATATTCGGTAAGCAGATGGTATGGTTTTATAATGAAGTAAATTATCTCGCAAAAGATGATCGCAAGCTTTATCTACTCGAAAGATAAGATAATTTTGTTCTAAACAATGATTGAGGGCGTACTTTGTCATACATCTTCTGTATATTCGCATTTATAGTGTAATGAAGGACAGAATTAAGATCTTATGGAGATAATTTCCAATATCGTCATTTTCCGAAGACAAATCTATGCAATATGGTGTGAATTCTCAGTGATGAATGTCATGTCAGCGAAGTAGATAAAATTTCCATCATTTAGTTGTAATAGAAATTGGCGCCAGGAGGCGATAATTTCCAAGGTCCATAAAAGCACTTCAGCTTGTGGATTTTATGATTATGTATAAGTTTGACCCGTTTAAAGTTTACAATTATTCATGATACCCTCCTGCATAATTTCAGGAAATTTACTTACAAATACACGAGGTCGGTAATGCCTATAGGTACGCATTCCATTAAATTGTGTAAAAAGAGACGAACCGACTGTTTGATCTATAATCTTTATTACTTTTACATTGGCTAAACAAATTCGATTCCTTCGTCGACGAAAACTGAGGTACACAAAATGAAATTGTATCTGCTGATTGCCCTCAACGTTGGGTTTATGGTTGAAGGTGCAATAGAGACAGCCTACAAGGATACTCAAGGTTATTATTTATTATTATTATTTAGAGGTATAATGCTGATTACAGATCATTATTGGAGGGAGTACACCGGCCTAATTCCTCACGACGCATTTATTGCCGGGACAAACAGGCAGGGACTGCCAATCTACATTGGCCAGACGTTTTTCAAAGATGCTGGCTTGTTACCCACGACCATTGATCCTAACTCCTCGACAATAGAGGCGACCGCATGGGGAAAAGTCTTGACAACTGATAAAAACGTAAAGGTGCGTGAGAATTGACTACGTAACTTTTTACCGAAATAAGAGCATCGTTTCCCAAAATTTCAGATACTCTGTTCTCAAAATCCGGGCAATTACAGCTGGGTACCGACCAAGATTGAAAATATGCACTTATTGACCCAGTGTAATCTCGTAGTGGGAGGCACAGAATCGGAAACGACGCTGTACGTAGGAAGAGTGATTCACGAGTTGGAAATGAAAGTTGGGAAGGTTTTTCCTAATTTTTCCGATTATAAAGGATTAGGAATTCCTCACAACGGAGGACAAACGAAGTATAACACTTTCGAGGTTCTTGCTTATAACTGCCTCCATTTCAACAAGTGTTTAGTCTGAATTTGCAGAAAGATATTGCTATCATTCCAAACTTCATTAGGTAGAGTACCACGCATTAGTAATACTGGTGGTAGCACTAATGCTTTCCATATAATTTTTATGGTCTAATGTAAACAAAATGTCAGAGTGCCTATGACAACTTTTATTCTCAAGTTTAGTAATAGTTTTAGTGCACATAAATAAAAACGTTTCTTTGCGACTATTAAATAATGCACTGATTCTTGTTGAATATTAAATTGAATACCAGCATAAATTTTTCACGACGTGAGTTCTTACAGTCTCGATTAGCCAATCACATGCCTTAATTTTTAAAAGTTCACGGTGATATGAAAAATTCGCGTTGCTTTGGAAATAACTAACTGAGCTTATCTAAAGGGGGCCATACATTGTTAAACAAATTGCGCAACCAAGTGATGCGCAACGTTGCGTTGTACAACTGCATTATCCATACACTTGGTGAAATTTTGTTCAAATTTTAGTTTATAAAGACACAACTTAAATTTATTTTCACAATGATATTGTACATCCTGTATACAAAATATCATCAACAAAGTCACAGCCGTCTATAATTACAAGCCATGCTGAAAAGTTTGGCAACGTTGTCCGAAAGTCAATCGGTGGGCCGATATAAGTTTTAATGGAGTCTTGTTGCTCTTGAAAAATTGCATTTTTCCTCTTTCCTGTGTTTCGCCTTGGTGGTTTAAATACAGAAAAAAGATACTTAGGCAGCTTATAATTGTACATATATTTTATTTATTTACAAAGATGGATAATAACATTTTTATTTGACTTTAAAATTCTGAACGCTGTAAATTGGTAACTGCATCATAATGGGTTTTCCATCGAGATCTCCGAAATTGGTGAACTTCTGTCGAAAGAGGTCGAGGTGAAGCACACGCTTGAGCACTTAATTTCGGCAAAAGCACAGTAAATCGCTGTGCATCAGCGAGGTTTTATCAACGACCAGGTGCGATCCGGAATGGCAAATTTTAAGCCAGTCGCTACTCCAGTGGGTCTACGTACGAAGCTTTTAAAGAGGGGAACCCCGTAGACTTCAAATTCCCGTACCGTGAACTTCTGGGAATAAGTCGAAAGGTTCCTTCAAAAAATCGACTTGACATGTCGGTGCTAGAATACCTGAAATACAAACTAATTGTATTTTTTCACGATAAACACTTACCGTACTTACGTAGCACGTGGTGTGTAGGTCATATTTGAGCTTGTATAGGTACTTTGAACAAATACAAGTGCTTGTAAAGGGTCCAGTAATGAGTAGCCTGCTTTAGAGGTTATGACAACAAATCGATATATTTCGTTTAGCAACTTATCGGAATAATAATTTCTGTTCATTCCATACGGGGTAACACAAATTGTCACAATCTCGCTCTGTTAAAACGGGTAAATAGGAATATTACACCCAAAACACTTATAAAATACACCCGAAATCTGCCAAGTTGAATTAGGAAATCGGCCTACCATGCAGTGTTGCCATAATTCTCAGCACGGCTTGTAATTATAGACGGCTGTGACAAAGTTATGTTGGTTTATTGTATTCTATGGTAATCACTGTTAGATGTAGGCTGTAATGTAGATCAAGATGGCGTCGATCAAGGTGCGGATGAATTGCGTTATAATATTTCGACTGCTAGCTGCCACTTTAACAGTTGGAATGGTTTGCCAGGGATTTCAGTAAAATCTTAATTAACATTATAATATAAGAGTTTCATTTCGTTACCCTCCTTGGCTTGGAATCGCCCTGGTTTCCATAACCTCATCTACAGAGCGACTCTTCTTGATAACCGAAGTCTCTTTCCGCCAATTCTTATTGCGACTCTGCTGCGATTTTTTTTGTTTCCAGGTTAATACCGGCGTTTCTGTTGTAACGTGAGGGTGGGATAAAGTGTGATAAAGATCATTCAGTTGCTATTTTCTTTGCTAAGGACGTAATTCCAAAACCTTCAGGATACCTGAAACCAGAATCATTCTCTCCTACGCCTATCGTCCCTACCCCCACACAGGCTCTTTGAAGTGCTTACTTTCAAGTAGGCATGGGCCAATTAACTATCGGTGAACTACGCATTGGAAAAAGTGACAGTTTGGTGAAGGGGTCGATTCCACAGCCCTCTGGATACAGAACCCCAACTTTTCTCTCTTCTACACTCCCATCGACCCCATTTCCATACAGACTTTTTTTAGCTACCACTGGGGTAGGCAACTGCGGGTAATTGATCATCGGTGAGGGTGCGTCGGTCAGCCATGACTGATGGAGGTGATCCCAGTGGTGTTTTGATGTTTTTAAAGATCTTTGGGGCGCGAACACTAGACCCTGGTCAAACCTCGCATTAACTTCCACATACATGCTTGCTACATCTTCCATCACCATCTGGTTTTTCTTTTTGTAACGTAGGCTAAGTACTTCCCCTTCTACGACATTGCTAATTTGTCACCCACTGATTAATTTTCCAATTTCGCTTGCGTACTCACACTGACTTTTCTCTGCTCAGCTTCGTTATTATACCTTGGTGTTTCGTTCTTCTTTTGTCCCCTGCTCTGGTACTGTCCTGGTGTCTTTTACATGACACCGTAATATTACTATTCTGTTATCTGAATCATGTACCTGTATACTGTATAGTATAGTAACGGGCGAAATTGCCTTTTGAATCTTGTAAGGACCACCAAATTTTGGAGTTATGATACTTTTTCCTTTGTCCGACAAAGTTTGATTCCTGCAGTAAACGAAATCCCATACTCTGCGTCAGTACGGTCTCCTCGCTCAGCTTATAATAATGCTTTTGGGTTTGAAAAGCCCTAGGGAGTGATTCCCTGACTTTTTGTTCATAAACTTTGTTTCAAGGGTGCTGAACCTTTCGTCACACTATCTGACGTCATAGCAAAATTAAGGCAGGTCGTAAATTAGTAGTTGGTTTACATATTGTCACATTGACGTTTCAACTTATTTATTAAGGTGTCACTATCGTTCATCATTATTAGACCGCCCAAGTTGACAATCACTTTTAAGGCATCTGGTTCTGATAGGTTTTTTCCTGTTCTTAGGTTTTATAATGGCTAAATGGTCATGTATTTTATGTAGAGGAAGTCCGTTGATATGAATTAAACCTTTTCAACCGTTTGTAATCACCTCATGTAACCGATTCTTTGCACATCCAAATGGATACTCGAAACTCTTTGAGATGAAGTGTATGATGGTTACAGAAAACGCATAGGAACATTTGTAACTTAAAGTTTGTTTAGGCAGTTCGTAAATTAATATTTTGTTTACATAATGTTGATGTGAAATTAAGTATGCTACCAATGTGAAGAATACGCGTTAAGTTGCGCGAATTTTAATGACCCTTAACTAGCCATTTGCAGAAGTAGAATAGGCCATGGTTTATCGGTAAGCCTTTTGCATTTATACATCTTACAAATTTGAGATAAAGCGTAGTCATTATACCACTGGCTCATTGAAATAACAACGCATACATACAGTTTCTGTTCTTTTGCCACACAGTCGAGATATTCGCATAAGGATCTTGAATATCTTCTGATCCGATTTATTTAAAAAAAAACGCAATTGTGAAAGAAAACAGGTAGTGAAGAAAAAACTCTCAAATGTTCATATTCAAATCGTATGTACAAAAGACAAAAAGCGACACTACACCACAAATCCATCTTCTGATCCTGCATGGAGTATTAGGTATATACCGGACCCCTTCACTACTTCTTTTTCTAACTGTTTTGAGAGTACCATCTTGCCAGCTTCTTCTAAAAGACCCTTTACTGTATATCCAGGTTTCGCCTAAAACCACAGGTCGTAATGGAAAGAGTGAAGTTTCGTTGTGTTTAAAGTCTCTCAAAAATTGTAGTCTTCTTTGATCTGCATAGGGCTGTTCCATTAAAAATAATCTATTGGAGACGGTGCATCTCCGCCACGTGAATTTCAGTTTCTTCAAACTGCGGGACAAAGAGGTACCAGATATTTCTACGCCATCAAGTCGTTGAAGATTACTGTGTAAGGAACGGAGTGTAACATTCTCACCTATAAAATCAATTCAATACCTAAGTGTTCTGGCGAACATCTTCATTCTGTGTATCGGTTCGTCATATTTACCTAATGGTAACGGGAATGACCTAAATTCATGATATGAGCGAATCGAACCATTATGTGGTAAAATTTTTAAAATACTTGTCTATTAACGGCGTTGCTGCACTGTCGACTTGCCTAAGCGTTTTTAACTTTGATGATATTTACTTCACTTTTAACACAAACTACCTAATCAACACTGGAAATCTGTCTATAACGAAAATCGTTTGACGGATTGATATTATGACAGATCAATTGGTTTATTTGTCACGACTTACGTTAATGACGTAATTTTTTTGTCTCAATCGATTTAAATGTAATGAAGAGAGAATCACATTTATGACGTCAGGTTCAGCACCAGTGAAACAAAGTATACCTCCTAATTTCACCAACTGGCGGACTTGGTATGTCCATGAACCTAGCAGAGCAAGGTCAGCAGAACACAATCAAACATATTGCACAATTAGGTGCTAATTAGGTGCTAATTAAGTGCCCTATCCCCTAATTAAATACTCCTTTTTTTAAATTATTACGTGTTCTGCCAGGTTCATAATTTAAAAAAAGGAGCATTTAATTCGGGAATAGGACGCTTAATTAGCACCTAATTAGCACCTAATTAGCACCTAATTATAGTTAGTTCACTTTTCATTTTCTTGGGTTTTTAAGGTAGTGCTCTGCTGAGTTCATATGAACCTGGCAGAACATGTCATATTTTTAAAAAAAAGGAGCATTTAATTCGAGAATAGGGCACTTAATTACAACCTAATTAGCACCTAATTATAGTTAGTTCACTTTTCATTTTCTTAGGGTTTTAAGGTAGTGCTCTGCTGAGTGTATATGAACCTGGCAGAACATGTAATAATTTTTTAAAAAAAGGAGCACTTAATTCGGTGATAAAGCAATTGATTAGCTCCTAATTAGCACCTAATTATAGTTAGTTCACTTTTCATTTTCTTGGTTTTTTGAGGTAGTGTTCTGCCGAGTTCATATGGCAAATCAGTAAAACAGTGTAATAATTTAAAAAAAAGGAGCATTTAATTCGGGAATAGGGCACTTAATTAGCACCTAATTAGCACCTAATTATGGAATATGTTTGATTGTGTTCTGCTGACCTTGCTCTGCTAGGTTAATGGACATGGACTGGTCTTCTTCTCTCGATTCCCCATTTTCTTCTTTTTTTACTTCTCTTGGTGAGGGAATCTGCAGCAAAATGAATAGACCGTTGCTATACTATATTGATTGCCAATGCAATTTTTACCAGTTGTGCCACCCAATATTTAGCATTTTCCTTGGCTGTTTGTGTAATCATTGTCCCTGTGAACCTGTTAACGCTCTCTACCGAGGTCTCTTGCGCTGTAGCCCTAATTTTAATATTATTGGGCTGTATATACTGTATCAGAATAAGTAAGGCCGAAATGTTGGCAGGGAATGCGTGGTGACATTTTTGTAAAAAAAAGATCCTGCCTTTTCTTGACTAAATTCTAAATGTAATTCAAGATTTCTTTAAAAATCATAATCAACATTAAGATATAAATATAAGAATTTTATTTCCTTACAGGTTACGAGGGCTTCTGATAAAAAACTGTAATGTAGTTCTAATCACTGATTGGTCAAAATTTATATATCCGTAAGTTCAGAACCTGAATGGTCTCTAGATCCAATCTATTTGCCCTCTTGTTAATCAAAACTCGCAAAATTTAACCCGGTTTTCTATGACTTTAAATATCTAAACGTGAAACCCCTTCCTCTCCGCAGTACCTTTTAAACAAAAAAAAATACCTGATTACCCTATCTTCCCTACCTACAATATCCTCCATAACCTGTCTTATTCATCATATATTCTAGTGTCTGTGACGGTAGCTCTTAATTTGGATTTCAAGTGAATTACTTATGACCATACATACATTTTGAGAGTTGGCAACTATGCAATTTCTAGGTGGGAAAAAGCTGCCTGCACCATCTAGAAAGCACGAACGGGGGGTTACGTTTGGCATCTTGTCTTGAATGGCGATCGTGAACGCGTCGCTCCATAAATTTGTTGTTATTTTGTGTTTTTTAATGCAGGTAGTAATTAATGCATTTCTTTGTATGCCGCATTTTATATTTTGTGTGTGTTTCAATCTTTGTTTTTGAAATTTACTTGGTTTAACCGCAATGCAGAATGACATGTTTAATACCGTTATCCTATTGTTTGTAATCGTTTACGTTTCTGGTGTAATGTTTGCTTAATTTACGTTTATTGATGTTGATTACTTGGTCTTGTCCCTGAAGTTACACTCATATAAGTTTTGTTCATTTTATTTTAATATGTGGAAATTACCAATTGGTTTGATGTGTGTTCTGACTTGTTGTTTGTTACTAACAATTTTCTCCGTGAATGAAGCAGTCACGGGGGTGGTAAAAACTGTAGTCAAAATTGAGCTACGACACCTAATTCCGTGATTGTCTTCGACTTTCAACTATAGGCTCGAAACTCCGAAACCAGGGGCGGGTTACCTATCTTGCAGGACCAGGATTACGCTAATCAAAGATCTTTAGTTTAGAATCTATGTGCTATAAATGATTGGCGATTCAATAATTTCCACATATCTTGTTCTTAGTTAAATTTGCCTACAAGGCCATGTAATTTTCCACTGCTTTTAACAAAAGGACTTTATTGCACCAAAGATGAGTTACATTCTGTGTATTTCACCCTTTCTTAGAATTTTGGTACCTGCTTATCTAACCCATAATTCCCAAAACTTGTTTTTAACCTATGTGTTACCTCTTGAAGTTTACCTGCTACTTTTTGTGATGTTATAATTTTATGTTACGCATTCACATCATTACAAACAATTAATTTTACTACACAATTTAATATTAATTTGACGGCTGGTTTTTTTATTGGTAAGTTCTTTTTTTTGTCAGCCCATTTCTATTTTGATTCGGTGAACTACCATTTTCAAAGTCTATTTTTGAAATGTAATTTATTTCGACTTAAATTTCCGAGCTTTTACAATCATAATAATTACGATCATTATTAAACAAACTTGTCATAATTTCAGTGTTTTATTTTACGTTCCTTCCCTACTGTGCTTCAGGTCATAGCGTTGTTTACAACTAACGTACGGGGGCTCTGCCTTAGATGTTTGATCACGTGCCACTTTTCAAATTTAAGCGGTTTCTTGTTTAGTTTTGGAGGGAATACTCATTTCGGTGGCCATTTTTAAACGTTGCCGGGTTGACTTTGTTTCCTAGTTCTTGTAGTGTGAAGTTAGCGTAGAACCTGGGGTTTCGATTTTTCGCAGAAATATTTAAAACATCAAATTCTCAAGTTGTAAGAATGTCGCTATTCTAAATTATTTACCAAACAAATATTGATCTTGGTAGAATGTAAAGGGAGAGATTTGGTTCTTGTTCTTTAATTTTTTTAGGAAGCAGAGTCTAGGTCTAGATCAGATTTCATTTTCTTAATAGACCATATTAAATTACATTTGCAACCCTTTGGTCAGTTCTGTATCAAAAAAAAGCTCGAGTTAGCCTTTCTTCAATTGATTAAGGATGTTAAAACCATCTGGGATTGGTAAAACGATAAGACACTGACCAATAAAATGATTAAAAATGGCCGTCCGTATTAACGACCCTCCATTTTATATGCAGGGCCAATTAATAAACAAGTGGGGACTGGGGGTTAATCTGAAGGAGAAAATTGCAATGAGTAGCTTCTAGAAACCTACACGTCAGGGTAACGAAAAGTAGGTTTTGCTTTCCGAAGCAACCGTAAAGGGTCAAAGGAGAATTTTTGAAGTCGGAGTGACCCTCTTGTTAATTAGCTGCACCAGTGCTTTGTGCGGTCCTGTCATAATAGTGCTCGGTTGTTCATTGACGTGGTAGCGCCTCTGAACTAGGTTGAGTTTGGCACTGGCGTACTCCAATATGCTTCTTTGGTCGGGGTTGGGTACCTGGTACAGAACTGCCGCGAATCGTCTGGTACTGTAACCAATAGGATTGTCGCAGCCCTTTCCTCACTCTCGATAACAGCCTCGGGGATTCTGTAATCGGTCCGTGTCTTTAAATCTGATCAGCGCGCAGTGGGCGGAGCCAGATTCATACTGCAACAGGAGAGCATTCGAGACACATCGATAACTGCGAATATCTGAACAAAATGATATTTATGAACAATTGTTCTACCGCGTTGAAGTTTTGCGTTGTTTTTTGTTTATAGAATACCTACATAAAAGGTTAATGGGAACACGTCAAGTTTGGAAAGGGACAAAAACAGTGGATGATTAAAATGCAAATGGAGCAGGTTTCTTCACCTCTATTTTTAGCTATTAACATTGAATAAAATAGTGTTTTTATCCAATGCTATTAACTGAATAACCATATTACTCAATCATTATTGAAAACTGAACCCCATTATTGACATTTGAAGTAGGTATGTCTTCCATTAAAATGAAAACCATTATAAATGTAAACGAACCAATTTCACTTGCAAAACACGCACTGTTTGATCTATAAAGTTTATTAATTCTGCATTGGATAACAAAGTCGCGATCCATTCGTCTGCGAAAGCTGAACGTAAAATGAAATCGTATCTGTTGCTTTCCTTCTATGCTGGATTTGTGGTTGTTCGAGCTTTTACTACGCACGGATGGAAAATCGAAGGTAACCCCTTCAGGTTTTCTTTGATAACCTACACTTAATTTATTGTAGACCACTACTGGAGGGACTACACGGGGCAGACTCCGTCCGATGCACTTGAAGCCGGAACTGATAAACATGGCCTACCAATTTTCATCGGTCAAGCGTTTATCAAAGACATCGGCTTGCTACCCGTAACAATTTACTCGCAGGCGTCCACGGTAGAAGCAACGGCGTGGGACAAAGTTTTCTCGTTGGACAAAAACGTAAAAGTACGTACCGTACGCTGTCAACGCGGAAGATCAATAATCTATTGGTCTATTTTTAGATAACACCGTTGTTTTTCCTTTTCAGATACTTTGCTCACAGAATCCAGGCGAATATCGCTGGGTACCGACGAAAATTGAAAACATGCACCTGCTAACGCATTGTTCTCTCGTACCAGGAGGCACGGAAACGGAAACGACGTTGTACATAGGACGCGTAATTCACGATATGGAGTTAGCGATTGGCAAGGTGTATCCCAATTTTTCACAGTACAAAGGATTAGGCCTTCCGCATAATGGAAAGCAGGCCACCTACTATAGTTTTGAGGTTTTCGCTCACAATTGTACAGTTAACAAGAATAATTGTGTTTAAAGTGAAGTTAGTGCCTGTTGATACGCTTTCTGTTGCACTAATATTTTTTTAATTGGAGGAAGCAGTCGTAAGACTGAGTGGCCACATTACTCCGCTAATTGGTGCACACGCTACACCTATGCCAGGTTATTTCTAAATAAAGTTGAATCAAACAATATTCAATGATTGAAAAAAGATACTGTGCAACTTCAAATTCAATTTCCTAAAATTATGTATTGAAGCTGCGTAACCGGATTTGAATATTGGTGAGCTTTTCTCCACGGGGAGTGTGGTATCTTTTAAATGACGTGCTGTAGATCATTGTGTAACACGATTACAGGCGGCCCCTTTAAATTTTTTACCAATTTCTCCTGTAGGCAAGTGTGAGATCTTGCATGAAACCAAGTTGTAAAAAAAGATGCACATTTTCAACATTGTGGCATAGATAGATGTTAGTGTCACACCTTCCTTTTAATTTATACAAAATCGGTTAATTGAAGTAAGTAACATTACTTATTTTTCATGTTAAATGTGGTCGCTACTTTAGAATGAACCGAATTTCGATCGTGTTATTTGAATTGGATGATTATGTGTATCAGATTTGCTTGATGTTAATTTTGTTCAAATAATCGTTTCTTTTGTTTACTTTATTGTAAAGTTGAATTACTTGGGAGAACGTAGGGTTCATGTTTGAATGCATTGTGCTATTTTAAAATTTATCTCCGGTCATTGCGATAAGGAGTCTATAGCTATGCACGTAAAGCTAATTAAATTACAAGATAAGCGGGTTTCACGCCCGAGTGGTGGCCCCTTTTCTCCCGGAAGGTGGTGGCAGCCAAGCCCCGCCCAAACTCTGCTAAGGTGACCGCATTTTCGCTCGTGGGAACTGTATGGACGATAATCTAAACAAACCCTTTCTGGGTTCCTGGTCAGAAGGGGCCAACAAGTCGGGCCCTTAAAAGGCTTCCGATAACGGGGATGGCTCCAATGCAGCTCCTTATTCAAGGACCAGATCCTACTCACAAGATGAATAGGACCGGCGCACGGAAGGCGCCGGCACGATGGTACAGCCTCGGGGCAAGCGGACACCGCGCCAAAGTCTTAGGTTGTGTTTGGGACGTTGACTCAGGGGGGAAACCCGACGTCAGGGACCAAGCGTTTCAAATCGGGAGGAAGCACTCCAGGGTAGCCTGAAAAGAGGCCTAGAGGTTCTGGAGCACCCAAAGTTGCGGGTGCCCCACGAACCTCCTAGCATTTAGTATCGATGAGGCATCCTATCGGGCACTCCATTGGCGGAACCTCCAAATGTACGGGGGTATCACACGTCAATAGACGAGCCTACCCTAGGAATTGCTATCTCCGTTCTCAGGGCCAAGATTAGGGAATGCAATCCCGCAGCAAAATCTCAATCCCGGTATTTGCGGGATTGTTAGATGTTAATCCCGCGGGATCCCGGTATTTGCGGGATCCCGCAAAACTTTAAATAAATATTGGCAAATAAGCAATTCTGTGCGGTTAACTTCTGTATTAAAATAAATCGCTAATTATCACAATATTTAACAAAAAAGTACCTTCGGCCTAACTTAGAACTCAAAAAAACAATTATTTAAAAATAACTTCTCAGTTATGCGTTTCATTAACAAAGTAGACAAAGTCGTCCCCTTGGTGGACAAATTACTCTGTCCCGCAAATCCCGCGGGATCCCGCTACATTTATGTGCGGGATTAATCCCGCAAAAATGCTGCGGGATCCCAGTATTTCGGGATCCCGCGATCCCGGTAATGCATTCCCTAGCCAAGATTAAAAGCTGGGTATCAATTCAAGGATCAGTGGCAATAAGCGACCAGACCTTGACAATCTAGGGCGTCCTCACGGAGCAGATGAAACTACCGAGCATATTGTACTGTTCTTAGGAGACGACACTAAAAATCTTGGCTTAACCTATACTTACAGTTGGCAACTCTGGGGAAAACAGCGAACAGCGCCATCTAACTTTCAAATCAAAACGAAAGACGTTTCGCGGCACCATTGAATCTCGGTAGCAGCATTCGGTTCTTTTGTGTTTGGAAGTGAGTCATAATCGGTAAAGGAATTGAATAATATATTACGCACACAACAAAGCAATACCAGGGAAACCTTTTTTGGGACAAAAACCCCAGCATAGCCCACACATGAAATAAATTAACTATGGCAACAAAATACAAGAGAAAAAACACAAATAAATCATCTCAAATTGTACGATAAAAAGAAGGCTATCGAAACAAATGCAGTTCAACAAATTCATAAAAACAAAACACATGAGACATCTAAAATGCACAACACATTGAAACACATACGCGATCAATTGAGATAAATGCAAGCGACGCAGCATGCTCTTGGCCTGAAGAAATTTATAAATTTTAGTAATTTATTTTATCTGATGTTTGTAAACAAACGCTTCTCCGTGACCAAATAGTCACGGGAGGTGGTAAATAACTGTAATTAGATTAGTTACGGCACCTGCCAGGACTGATCTCATCTGTAAGCTCGGCGACCGCGGACGAGGGGTGAGTTACCTACTCCAGGGGTAGAATTCTGCTAACAAAAACTCTTCGGTTTAGAATATTTGTGCGATACAAGCTGAGATTTCCTAATTTTCACACACTTTGTTGTTAATGTTGAATTTCAATACAGTCTAACACACGACTTTGGTGCACCAAAGATGAGTGGGCTCTTTGCCAGAATTTTGGTTATCTGCTTACCTGCACTATTGTTCCCTACCTTACTTTGAATATTGCCCGCAACAGCTGCCTTTGTGTATATGCGATTACTCTTTTTTTTAAACATCGCTTATTAAGCTTGATAATTTTGCAAATAACTGCGCTAATTAGTTTTTATTTTTTGGATTCACTAATCAAACGTTAAGGTTTGTCTCAGGCGCAGCGTAATTAGTCCTTTCGCGTACATTGTGCAAATGCAGTGGAAATAAACTTTTTCCGTACAACCCGCAGGCGGTGGATTCGTATTAGAATTTTCAATCAGTTATAAAAACTAGGGAATTTTTCCCACGCCAAAAGTCGACTTTAGAGTGGCATTTAACAATTTCGGAAGCGACCGTTCCAGGAGATAAATTAAATAGATTTCGGGTTCGCTTTACGGCGCTTTATTGGTAGATAGTATTATAATAGCGGGGGGATTGGTGCGTGTTTTAAAAACAATATTGCGCAATTAAAATAAACGGCGGATATTAAAAACCCTTCTATACTAAAAAAAGGGACTGCCATTATGCAACGGCAATTTTTAAGCATTCACTTGAATTGCGCCTTTGAACTCTGGTTCTAATGGCCTTTTGAGCTCAAAATGGTGCTTATCTGCCTTATCTGTAACAGAGATAACAACACAAACAAACAAACAAGAATGAGAGTCAATAGCGCGATAAATAAATGTTACGTCTGACGCTAGGGTAAATCGTAGACTAAAACCTATTATGAAGACCTAATATGAATTACCTGTCATCGGTTGTTTTTTTTTACAGAAACACAAAAAGGCTATCTTGCTTGAATTTGCACAATCGGAAACTAAATATCTCTCGTATTCCATCGCAGACAATGAATGGAGCCGGATTCGATAATAAACTCCTTTATTTAAAATTCTGAGGCGCCGTTTTGTACGGAAATCACCATTGGAACAATTAATTCCTATTAAATTCTCATTTGAACCCCATCCGCTTCATTTCGTCTTAAAATTAAAACAAATCTCGCGCTCTTCCTAACTTCCTTTAACGATCAATAAATTACTGATTAGCTACACGTTCTTGCGATTAGTCGGCCATTTCGTAATTTGGGTTGGAATTAAGATACATCTTCTAGGACTTTTAACACGTAAAACTGGTAATTTAGTCGAGTTTTACGTTCAAATAACGTTAAGCATTATTAGCCTATGCTCCCATATAAAGGGTACTAATTTTATTAAGAGAGCCGCCTTGTACACGGCACGAAAACTATGACTAAACTCTCTTAGAAAATGTAAAGTTTCGGAATGTTTTGTGTCTCGAAATTAAAGTTTCGGGGACGTTTAGGTTTTAATTAGATCAAAAATTAAGTACACAAACGATTTTAATTTGCCGACGGAGCGTTTATGCTCCCGCTTTAAGGTTCGTGTAAAAGGAACGTTTGAAGTTAGTGAAGTAACAAATTAGGGCTTAATAAACTCGATGTGAGGTGTAGGTACTTTCGTTGTAGACGCAGGCTGTTTATATGTTTTGATATATAATGGATTAACAATCTCACAGTTTTATTAAATTTATTTCTTAGTAATAAATTGTCTGGCGACCAAATAATAATTCACAAGGGCTACCGCAGATTTTATGATTTTAAAAATTGCCTGATGCAATGGCTCTATCTCTATAACGATTCATTTAAAATTCATTTCTACGCTAAAAATCCTATTTATGAAAAGACCCTTCGAGAATACACCAAATGTTTCTGGATTAGTCGTATTCAAGTGCGTTTTAATCCCATTGCTATTGACCATTAGGATCCCTGGGGCTTCTAGTGACTCCCTCTTTGTTTATGGACTACCTTCTAATACCATGTCTTGCATTTTTGCTGACTTCTATACTGATTTTTCACTGTTCAATAAATACATTTTGGCTTTGTGAAAAATGCAAAGCGAGTTTTAATGGGTCATTCCATGTTCTCCATTAGATGTATCAAAACACACCTTAATACGTTTCGTTAACCTGATAAAAGCAACTAGTTTTTATAATAGGTTTTACTGGATTTGGATTTTGCACCTACCAACTTTTCCTCTGCTTTTGCAACAAGTCACGGAATGGACGGTGTATTATCTTTTTAACCGAAATCATTTTATTTACAATGACTGTGATTTTTATGAGCAAACACCAAATGACATTTCTATGGCAATCACGGAATTACGAATAAAAAGCCCACTTAATTTGAAATGTATTCGAATATTGTGCCATTACTTTTGTTACGCGTGCTTTAAAGACCTCATTATACACTTTTCTCTTAATATACGTCGACGCTTTAATGCTTAGAAACACGCTCAGTTTAAATAAAACCTAAATAAAGATCAAAAGAACCAAAATAATAAAGTTCTTATGCACTGGCAGCCCCACAGGGCAAACTACGTGCGAAAAGA